GCCTATTCCCTTTGGATAGGATAAACATGGTTACCTGATGTACCTTGGAAATATAAAGGCGCCTTGTATCAATCGATAATGCAACTTTTCCTCGACACATTCGATCCTGTGACACCCTCCTCCCCTTCCCCCCCCCCCCGCCATCAGGTGTTCACCGTGTACTTCGAGTCTGTCAATGCCGGTTGCCTGGCGGAGGGGCGGCATATTGTTGTGATGGTCGACAATGTGTCTAGCCACACCCTGAAATCCCCCCATGCAACTATGGCCGACATTTGCAGCTTCCGCACCCGTGCACTGTCAAACCTGCGGCTGGTCTCTTTGCCGATGAACACCACGCCCTTAGCGCAGCCGCTCGATTAATGCATTATGGCGGCTCTGAAGGCAAAGTACAAGACGTCGCTGCTGGGCCGTGTCCTCGTCGAATGGTCGACGCCGGGCATGACTATCGACGAGCTTGTGAAGTTCCGTTGCGACATGACGCGCGTCGTCGAATACATTTCCGACGCGACGATTGGGGTAGACACAAGCACCATCCAGAAATGCTTCTGGCATACTGAGATGCTGCCGCCAAGCTGGAAGCCATTCCTTGACCAGCTCGGCGGCCCGTAGACAAGGATGTAGAACGGAGTCTAGCCAGCACGAACGAACAGCGAAGGGTATGCAGACGATGGGAAGAACTGCATGTTAGCTAGCGTAGCACGCAGAGTGTCGTGCCACTCACGGGGCGCCTGTCGCAGGCCGTAGACTGGGCGCCGGAGGAGCCACTAGGTCCCAGGAGGGAAGGTACCGGTGAAGCCCTGAGGATGGCACAGATAGAGCTGCTCGTGTAGGCTGCCTTGAAGAAATGCAGTGAAGAAGTCGAGAGAGTGGAGCTCGTAGTCACGCTGTGCTGCTATGTGTAGCAGCACCCGAAGTGTAGTCATCTTCAGGGTCGGGTGGAAGGTCCGAAAGAAGTCCACCCCCTCTCACTGACTGAATCCTCTAGCCACATAGCGCGCCTTGAACACAGGCGGCTCTCCAGGGGGGCGCTTCACCTTGAAGAGCCATCGGCCATAGACTACGTTCACCCCAGGTGGGGAAACTGCGTCGATGTAGATGCCGCAGGATCTCCAAGATGCCATCTCCTGCTCCATGGCAGCTATCCACTAAGAGGCCCAGGGTCCCGAGGTCGCCTCAGCGTAATTGTGAGGGGTCGGGATGTCAAAGGCGTCTGGGTCACCCTCAGGGACTAGCAGCATGGAACAAAGATGGGGAGGAGCCTCGGAAAGGAAAGCAAGCTCATACTGACTATCCTCTAGTACACTGGCGGAAAGTATTGCCCGAATAATTGCCTTAAAACATTTCTCGTACTGGTTTGGTGCCTTCTTTGTTTAGTTACAAATCAAATTTCAGGGTTGGATGTAAAGTAGTACTGTACTGTATGTGACGGATGCTGGTTTCAGTTTTATCGGGGTCGATATTTTACCGAGGACGAGATTTCGTTCGCGTGGGTGCATCCGGACAGTTCAAGCCAAGCAGCGTAGTAGATCTATTTCCTAACCTCGCTATTTCTTCTTACTTGCCCTCGTGACTATCGAGTAGTGAGGAGATAGGCTAGGACCGCTGCGAGGATTAGGCCGTCATGAAATCGTTAGATGAGGCGCTCTACGCATAGATCATTCCCTTGTTGCGGAGGGGGTATAGCAATCGTTGAATCGCTAAACAGCTAGGCATAGGGAAGAGTTCGGTCCATCAAGGCGATTGTAGAGTCTAGCCGCGATGACGTGCGTCCTGCGATGCCCTCAGCCGGTCGCCCTCGCTTAGTGACAGAGAGAGTTCGCAGCGGCATAGTTCGGTCGATTACCAGCGAGGAGGCAGAAATCTCCGCTCACGTGGCGAAAATCGTTGAGAAGCAGCACGGCATCACGTTGCATCCTAAGACATTGCGTAACGCTTTGAATGGGAGCGGACTTGTCGCAATCAAGCATCCCAAGAAGCCGCGACACTCTCGGAAAAACATACGCGATAGGCTGGAATGGGCGCGTGCCCACGCATACTGGACGGTTGACGACTAGAAGCGAGTTATCTGTGCGGATGAGACCAAGATCGGTCGTCTTGCATCCGGCGGACTCTCATACGCCTGCGTTCACAAAGGGACTGCTCTCCAAAGACACCAAATCAAGCAGACCGTCAAACACGGGGGCGGTTGCTTGATAATTTACGATTGCATGTCGTAAAAGGGAGCGGGTTTCATGAGCAAAACATATGGTAGGGTGGATGGACTGCTCTCGCTGAGTATACTGCAGGACGATCTCAACAGTACGATTGAGCTTTACCAGCTTACACCCTCATAAACTATCTTCCAGCATGACAACGACCCGAAGCACAAGTCGCGTATCATACAGGAGTGGCTTTGAGAGTAAGATTCAGGGGTGCTAGAGTGGCCGTCTTCCTCACCCGACCTCAACCCTATGGAGCATTTATGGGCTCATCTCAAGAGGCAGCTGGCCAAGCCTTATAAGCCTCCCACTGGTATGCTGGACCTTTGGGAGCGGGTGCAGGAGAAATGCGAGAAGATCCCGGCGGATGTGTGCACCCACGTGGTGGAAAGCATGCCCAGGAGGGTGAGGGCGGTGTCTAAGGCGAAAGGGCGGTGGATTAGGTACGAGTTTGGGGTTGATGTAACTTGCTGCTTGCGCCTGGCAATAATTGTCCACATGTACCAAGATTGTTATTTTCTAGTATTTGTTGTAAACATCATTATACTTGTTTGATGTAAGGCATGGGCGTGGAACCTTACCCCAACCTACATACACATGGCACACCAGAACATTAAGGCTTAATGTCGATGACCCCCTAAAATGGCAAAATTCCTCGAAGTCACAAACATGTGGACAATACTTTCCGTCAGTGTATGTCACTGCCAAGGGCAGGAGCACCCCCGACGGACAGAGGAGGGACAAGGTCAGAGACCAGAGCGGTGGCATAGTCAAGGCGGCGGGTAGAGGCGAAGGCAGCGACAAGAGCGTCAAGACTCAAGACAGGAACGGACGGGTCGGTAACAAGGGAGGCAATGACCCAAGCAATAAGAGGGCAAGCGGCACAAAGGTAGTCAGACAGAGGGGGAGGCGCGATAGCAAGCGAAGACGGAGGAGGCGAAGGCAGGAGGGGAGGACGAGACGCGTGGGAAGGAAGCAACATAGGGTGAGAATGCTGAACAGGAGAGACAGAACGAGCACAAGAGGGACAGTGAGACCAGATGTGAGACACAGGTGTCGGGTCAGGAGACAAATGAGGAGTAACACGAGGGAAATGCGGTGGGGAAATGCGCTGGGGCTGAGTCCGGCGGAGGAAACGCAGGACTGTGGACAGGAAGGGGAGGAGATGGTGGGGGAGGCACAGCCAAGGGGTCAGGTGAGGGAAGGACGAGCAGGCGAAGGGCGGACACCGTCGGCGACTGCTGGTGCGGCGACTGCTCGACGCCGACACCTGGACCACCAGCTGTAGCGCGGCCACCTCCAGAACACTCCACCCCAGCACCCCAAGAACGAGCACCCCCAGGGCATGAATCCTCTCCAGCACCGGTGCCAGCCCCGAGCCTGCCGGGACAAGCCACGACAGGAACCCCAGGACTAGCACCCTCCTCAATGCCAGCACCCCCAGAGTCCACGAACGGCTGCGGCTGCTGCGATGGCGGCGACTGCGGCGGCGGAGGAGGAGACACCCGGGGAGAGACAGGCGGCGAGAACTGTGCCGCGGGGCCACCAGAGTCAGCCGACTCCTCGAGCGGGACAACCGACAGGAGGGGAGTGACATCAGACACACCAGACGGAGCAGGACGAGGAGGGAGGGGAGCGGGGGCTACCAAGGGAGAGGGAACAAAAAACAAGGGTGGGGAAACCAGGAGACCTTGGTGGGGAAAGCAGTGGTAAAAGGAGACAGACTCGTCGAAAGTGGCGTCACGGGATTGAAAGAAGCGGTGAGACGGCAGGTGGTAGAAGTGACAGTCAGACGAGTCAAGAGGGAAACCAAGTAAGACATAGGGGACAGTGCGGGCACTGAGCTTGTCCTTTCCAGAGGCACGAACGTGAGCGAGGCAGCCCCAAGCGTGGAATGCAGACGTGTCACCAGGGAACTTGGTCCAAAGAAGGGTCGGCGAAACCTGCGGCCGGTGAGAGCACGGCCAGTGGTTACAGTAAGCTGGTGAGCGGCGTAGCAAACGGCCACAGAAAAATGGGTGCACCGGCATGAATCATGGAGGTACGAGCCACCTACATGACCAAACCAATGCGTCGCTCAGCTACCCCATTTTGTTATGGGGAGTCTGGTAGGGTGAATGACTGAGCCCTCCGCATGACAGAACTGTCCAAGCTGACCAGAGGCGAACTTGCCGCCACGGTCGGAGTGGAGACACAACCCAGGGAGATTGCGGTGGAAGCGTGATGCTACGACCCACGGGATAAGAACGCAGGGCACGTTTGCCTTCCGCTCCAAGGGAGACACCGTGGTGTAGCGCGTGTAGTCGTCCACGAGCACTAGAAAGTAGCGCTCGCGACGCGGTCCAGGAACGGGGGCTAGGCCCCAGACGTCCAGGTGCAGGGTCTGGAGGGGTGCGATTGTAGGACGAACGAGGGGATGTGCAGGCCTGTAAGGGAACCCTAGGGAACCACTGGACAGGGAAGGATAGTGTAGCTGCGAGAAAATACAGGACCAGAAGAGGGGTCAGCAAGTGCGACAGTGGTAGGCGCGGCAAGCGGCGTAAGCGCACCGTGGTCGGGGAAGAAGCAGGTAGACGCACCGGAGTCAAATGTGAAGGGCAGCGAAGCAGTAGCAGTAGTCGAAGGAGGAGCGAGCGTGGAGCCTAGGCTAAACAAAGCAAACGATCCTACGCCTGACGCAACAGGGGAGGCTGTACTATTCACAGGTTCTACGCCTAAGCTAGAGAACACAGGATAATAAGATCTGGACATACTAGAAGTGTCAGCATACAGAGAATGAAGTGCAAAACTAATCTGAACGATGTCTAGGTCAAAAACAAGCACACTGTGGTGCAGCACACTGTGCCAGTCAGGAGGTTCGGGGCCGGGCCGAAGCGGCGACGGAAGAGGTCGTCGAGGCGGCGGAAGTCGCAGGCGGTCGGGTGCGGGCGGCGGCACACAGTGCCATGAAGGGGCCCGGTCTAGAGCTGGTACTGGCGGCCTGCAATACCGAAGCCGCCGGTAGACGCCGAGCTGCGAGGACCGCCACCCCGGCCACCACCTCCAGGGGCTCCTGGCCACCCCGGCGGGAGGCGAGCCCATGGCTGCTGCTGTAGCTTCTGCGGCTGCTGCTGCTGCTGCTGCAATGACTGCTGCTGCTGCGTCTTGTTAGGATTAAGGACGGAGTCTAGGTGAACTTAGGAGCTAGAATTACTCAAAATATAAATCCGAAATTCTGGACAGAAAAGTCGTCTTCACAAGAAACGACGTCGACGAAAAACTAGCCGTTGGAATGTCGCGAAACTTGGATATGTTGTAGCTCTTAATTTCAGCTACCGTTCCCAATTTGAATCATGTTGATTGATGAAGTATTTGCGACGCTATGGCTTTCGACGCACTAGGGGGTAAGCTGTAGGAGGAGAACTTAACTCAATCTCAAGAGTTCAATCAAAATTCAAGAATCTCACAAGGAATTAAGAGGAGCAAGAGAAAGGTTGGGATAGAAAGAGAGGGACGAGAGGGAAGGTCCCAAGAGAGTCCCCAACCAAGGAAACCCCATAAGCACAAAGATTCCCTCCCTATAGGAACCCCAATTTTGACATTTGTCCCTTCCCAACCAATCCATCCAAGTTGGCCACCCTTGCCAACCTAGCTTGGTTGTTCCCAACCAATTTGCAGCTGTTACAGTAGAGTGACAAATTTCCCCAACCCCCAAAGGTCCCAACTCCATATAAAGTCACCCCACAACTTCACTTTGTAACCGCCGCAATTGTAACGCAAGCTCATGAACTTTGAATCTTCATAGCTTTCGCGTTCTTGCTCCGATTGAAGCGATTCTTGTTGCGTCGGAAAGATCTTCTCAAGATCTATCATCACAAATACCTGCTCAAACAAAAAATAACACAAAACACATTCCCAAACTCCAGAACACACCACACAAATTCTTTCACACGTTCAAACCACACATGCGAATTGAAAACATGGGATGGGAGGCAGACAGAATGTGATAGCATATGATGACATCACACAACAATCTCCCCCTCTGGCTGCCAACCATCAACCACCATACCAACATCTCAAGCATGCATACTCAATGCACACTCATCCCAGCAAGCTTCATGCCCTTCCAATGATCCGCCTCCGCCAGACGCTTGGTGAAAATATCTGCTGCCTGCTGATGGGTCTTCACTATCTCCAGCCGCACCTCCTTATCAAGGAGTCTCCTCACCCAATGCCACTTAGGCCTTATGTGTTTTGTCAGCCCATGCAGACAAGCATTCTTGGCGAGCTTCACAGCGGACTCATTGTCACAAAACACAACTGTCGGCTTCTCCTGACCAACTCCCAACTCCTCCAACAAACGCCTTAGCCACACTACTTCCTTGGCCCCATGGTGTAAGGCCATGTACTCAGTCTCACATGAGGACAATCCCACCTCATTCTGCTTCTTGCTGCGCCAGCTCACAGCACCACCTCCTAGCAAGCACACATAACCCCCAATGCTGGTGCCATCCGCTTTCACTGAGTTGAAGCTAGCGTCAGTATAGCAACTCAAGAGCATCTCTCCACTCTTCACATCTGCAGCACCTCTCTGCAACCGCTGCCTCACTCCACTGTACTCCAATCCCACTGATGCCGTAGCACTCACATAGCGGACCAACCTCTTGGCCGCTTCCAGCTGCTCATGACTAGGGCGTGAGACCACACTAGCCAACCGTGATGTAGAAAATGCAATGTCAGGCCGTGTATGATTTGCAGCATAATTCAGCGACCCAACCATCGAATGAAACAGCTTCCTGTCACTCTCACCCACTACCTCCTCATCAGCACATGGCTCCACAGTAAACCCTGAAGGTAGTGGTGTTGCTGGCTTTCCCCCATCTTGCAGCCCATACTTCTCAGCCAGCCCCTCACAGTACTTCCTCTGGTGCAACCTCAGCACACCCTTTTCCACATCTCTCTCCACGTGCATCCCCAAGTAGTACTTCACCCCACCCATCTTGGAGCACTGGAACTGCATCTCCAGCATCTGCTCTGCGCTGTCCAGCAAAGCAGTGGATGCAGAAAAGAGAAAGATATCATCCACATACACCAAGAGCATGAGGATTTCATCCTTCTCCTGCAGCAGGAACAGGCTGGGGTCACACTCACTCTTCTTGAAACCCCCAGCCAACAGCGCCTCCTCCAAGTTGTGATACCATGCACGAGGCGCCTGCTTAAGGCCATAGATGGCCTTCTTCAGCCTGCAGACCCTGCCGCTCCCGTCATCCAGCCCCTCTGGCTACTTCATGTACACCTCCTCCATAATGATCCCATTCAGAAAGGCAGTCACAATATCCATCTGCCGAATCTTCCATCCCAGGAGTGCAGCTATCGCCAACAGCACCCTCAGTGTTGTTCCTTTCCCCACAGGAGCAAACACCTCATCATAGTCCTTCCCCTTTGTCTGCTGAAACCCCCGTGCCACAAGCCTAGACTTGTAGCGGGTCAGCTCCCCTTCAGGTCCATACTTGTGCCTGTAGATCATCTTGGAAGTGATTGCCTTCTTTCCAGGAGGCAAGTCACACAGGTCCCATGTCTCGTTCTCAATTAGGGACCCGAACTCCTCATCCTCACTCGCCTTCCACTTCTCCCCATTTGGTCCATTCAAAGCCTCCTCTCGAGTCTTGGGCTCAGGGATTGGTGCCCAGTAGCAGTGAGCGATCTCATCTTCCTCAATCTGCTCAACCACACTCCCAGCCTGCACCACATTCGGCTTGCCTCTTCCCCCATAGGTCAGCCTCACTGGAGGGCGCACATCCCTCCTAGGACGCTCAGGCGGGTGTGGAACTCGAGGTGGAGACTCATGCTGCTGCTGCTCTACTTCAGCTGCTCCCCCTTCCTCAGTCACCCCAGACATCTCCTCCTCTGACACTGCAACCTCCACCTGTCTTGAAGGCTGCTGCACCTCATCTGCCTCCACAATGAGCGGTGTAGATGGAAGCTTCTGTTGCTGCTGCTTCCATTCCTTGTAGTACAGGGACTCAAGAAACTTCACATCCCTTGACACTGTCAACTTCTGGGTGGTCAAGTCCCATAGCAGCCACCCCTTGTGATCCTTTGCAATCCCCAAGTGCACACCCCATCTTCCAGAAGCCTCCAACTTCCCCCTTTTCTCCTTAGGCACATGAAACACCACCATGCACCCAAATGCCCTCAGCATGTTCACAGCTGGAGCACTCCCATACCACTTGACATATGGGATCCACTCCTTATCTCCAACTGTAGCCAGCACCCTGTTCTTCACAAGGGCGACCTGCCTCAGTACAGACACCCAAAACGGATTAGGCAGCCCTGCACGCCCAAGGAGAGTGCGTGCCCCCTCCTGCAGGGTCCTGTTGAACCTCTCAGCCACGCCATTCTGCTGCGGGTTGTAGGGCACTGTGAGTTGATGTTGGATCCCCTTCCTCTTCAACTCCCCCTCAAAATCAGCTCCAATGAACTCCCCACCATTGTCACTACGGATCACCTTCACCTTGTGTCCGCATTCCCTCTGAGCTCTAGGCATCCACTCCTTAAGGACAGCCGCTGCCACCTCCCCCTTGCTCTTCAAAGGGTAAACCCACACTGCCCGAGTGTGGTCATCTACAATTGTCAAGAAATAGCGGCTGCCTGAGAGGGAAGGGGCTCTTGTGGGCCCCACCACATCCATGTGCACAAGTGCAAGTGGGGTCTTGGCTGGTCCTGTAGTGCTGTTGAAGGGGAACTTGGAGAACTTGGTCTCCAAGCATGTAGGGCAGCTCCCAATCTCCTTCACTCCCCCTTTCACCTCCAAGCCCTTCAGGCTCCCATCCTTCACCAACTTCTGCAGCATAGGGAAATTCACATGACACAGCCTCTCATGCCATGTCTCCCAATCGGCCTCTCCACTCTTTGATGAAGCCTTAGCCCATGCCGCACTCGCATCCACACCAGCAAGCACCTCACCATGTGTCTGCTGCTGCTGCACTTTCTTGACTGCTTCCAGGACCCCATCAGTTGGTGCAGTTGCATCTCCTCCTGCTGTTGCCTTTGCCGCTGCTGCCGTTGCTGCTGTTGGAGTCTTCCCATTCCATGGGATGATGGGCAGCTGCCACAGGTCCTTGATGCAGCTGGTCTCCTCTTCCAGACTCCACAGCACCTTCTTCCCAAGCTTAGCACGGCAGCTGGTTGGTCCAAAGGTCACTTCGGCCTTGCTCTTCTGCAGTCGTCGCACAGAGAGAAGGTTAGCAGACAAGCCTTTAACTAGCAGAACATTCCCAAGCCCCACAAGCTCCCCATTAGCTCCCTTAACCTTGGCATTCCCAACACCAATGACAGGGAGCAAAGCACCTGACGCTGCTGCCACATACTTAATCTTCCCAGGGGGTTTTACCTCATCAAGCAAATCTGCCCGTGGGGTCATGTGACTGGTGCAACCTGAATCAATCACCCAGTGCATGAGAGGGTGCATCACAACCTTTCCCACAGATCCCACATCACCCTCATGCCCATGCACATCCTCAACCATAAGAAACAAACCAGGATAGGCATTACCTTGTGCACCTGAGCCTTGCACAGCGCCACCTTGTGCGCGTTCACCACTGGGCGGCTTCATGCCTGGAGGTGCCCATCCCTCCGGCCTGCTGAAGCACTTGAACCAAGGATGCCCGACCTTCTTGCAGTACCAGTAGGTGCCCTCCATTCTGGTACTCCCCCTGCCACTGGAGCTTCCATGCCCCTCATTATAGTCACCTCGGCCTCTACCTCTGCCAAAGCTCCTCCCACGGCCTCGGCCTCTCCAACCCCCTCTTCCTCTGCCGCGCCCTGCAGCTCCATACCCCTCAGCAGTCTTAGTAGACGCACCGCCTCCCACATGGCGTCTACGGAAGTCCTCCTGCAGAATCTGCTGCCTTAGCCACTCAGGTGTCCATTGATCTTGCTGAGAGTTGAGGGTGGGGATGAGGTTGTCCCAAGAGTTGTCCAACACCGAGATGATCTTGGTGCACTGCTGCAGCTGAGATACACTGCTGCCCGCTGCTGCCATCCTTGCATAGGTGTCCTTGATCTTGTCAAGGACCGGCTTCACATCGTCCCCTGGTCGCATGGAGATGGCAGCAAGTTCCTTCTCGAGCACGATCACCATTGGGAGAGTGTTGGGCTGAATCACATCACGTAGTAGTTTCCACGCCCTTGGACCCGAATCATCCGCTTCCACAAGATCCTTGATGTGCTCGAACATCTCCTTGTTGACCGATTGAAGGATGAGGTCGAAAAGCACCGGGCTTTTCTCAATCCACCGTTCGCGTGCTTCGCCTTCTTCCAGCATCTTCTCTTCCCCAACAGCAATCTTCAGTAGCTTGTAGCGTTTGAAGGCACTCCTCGTCCGTCCGCTCCATTCCTCATAGTTGGAGCCATCCAAAGCTTCAACTTTTGATGGCGGCGGCTCACTTGTCTTCTCAGCTACAGCTCCTCTTCCATTAGCATCTCCTCCTCTCTCATTCATCTTCTCCTTGAGAAATGACGAATTTCAGCTCCCCTTTGCTGTCCACACTCAGCTCCCCCGATATTTTCACAAGTATCAGCGTCCACGAAATTTCGGCAGAGTTTCCCCTTAGCGGAAGACACATCCAACCTTTAGAACGCCACTTAGGCACACCCACAGGCCATGGTGGGTCTAGAAGGGTCTTCACACTTCTGTAGACTCCTCTCAATGTCCTTAATATGGCTCTGATACCACTTGTTAGGATTAAGGACGGAGTCTAGGTGAACTTAGGAGCTAGAATTACTCAAAATATAACTCCGAAATTCTGGACAGAAAAGTCGTCTTCACAAGAAACGACGTCGACGAAACACTAGCCGTTGGAATGTCGCGAAACTTGGATATGTTGTAGCTCTTAATTTCAGCTACCGTTCCCAATTTGAATCATGTTGATTGATGAAGTATTTGCGACGCTATGGCTTTCGACGCACTAGGGGGTAAGCTGTAGGAGGAGAACTTAACTCAATCTCAAGAGTTCAATCAAAATTCAAGAATCTCACAAGGAATTAAGAGGAGCAAGAGAAAGGTTGGGATAGAAAGAGAGGGACGAGAGGGAAGGTCCCAAGAGAGTCCCCAACCAAGGAAACCCCATAAGCACAAAGATTCCCTCCCTATAGGAACCCCAATTTTGACATTTGTCCCTTCCCAACCAATCCATCCAAGTTGGCCACCCTTGCCAACCTAGCTTGGTTGTTCCCAACCAATTTGCAGCTGTTACAGTAGAGTGACAAATTTCCCCAACCCCCAAAGGTCCCAACTCCATATAAAGTCACCCCACAACTTCACTTTGTAACCGCCGCAATTGTAACGCAAGCTCATGAACTTTGAATCTTCATAGCTTTCGCGTTCTTGCTCCGATTGAAGCGATTCTTGTTGCGTCGGAAAGATCTTCTCAAGATCTATCATCACAAATACCTGCTCAAACAAAAAATAACACAAAACACATTCCCAAACTCCAGAACACACCACACAAATTCTTTCACACGTTCAAACCACACATGCGAATTGAAAACATGGGATGGGAGGCAGACAGAATGTGATAGCATATGATGACATCACACAACACGTCTGCTGGGGCTGCTGCTGCTTCTGGACACCTGCCCCAGCCCCCTCGTTAGAGCCACTGTTACCGCCACCACCACCACCACCACCACCACCACCACCACCACCACCACCACCACCACCACCACTACCACGCCCTCCCTTGGGGCCACGACGGCCCCGACGCTATCGCTGCTGGTGCGGGAAGGCCGCCGCTGCGAACTCACTGGTAGGAGCAGCCGTAGCGACCGCAGCGGACACGTCAGCGTACATGCACTGGGAGGGAGCACAGCCCTGAAAGATAGGGACTGCCGCAACACCGCTCGACTGATCGATAGTGCGATGGCGAGTCTCTATCTCAGAAAGGGCAGTGACAAAAGGCGGTCAGGATGAGATCACCAGGGTGCTGGCTAAGGAGGTGATCGCGGGCAATGGCTTAGCAGTCAGGCAGGCGCGTGGCAAGAAGGTACAGGGTAGCGCAAAATGGCGGGAGGAAGGCAGTGAGCTGGGTAGTAGTGCTAGCAGCGCGATAGCTAGTCTCTAATGCACGGAGGTGAGTGGCAAGATCAGCAACAGTAGGGAAAGCAGAGAGATCGGGGAAGAGCATAGGGAGGATCAAGCGTTCAGCTGAGGCGGACGCAGGCGTGGAGTAGCGTGCAACTACTGCATCTAGGAAGTCTTTGGCGTTTGTTACAGCAGTGAAGCGGGGACGCTCAATAAGGGGAAGCGCATAACTAATGGCAAGCTGCGCTACAGCATCGCGAGAACGGTGTGGCAGTAGGACTCTCCGGAACGGAGACCGGGCGGAAGGCCAAGGAGGGCGCAAAAGGGTCGAGGCGCACGAGGGACCAGCCAAGCACGCGGGTAGGCGCGGGAAGGGCCTGCGCGTAGAGAGGGGTCGACAAGGCGCGAGGAGCCGGCGGTGCGCAGGAGAGGCCGGCTAGGCGGTAGGGGCTGGCTAGGCGCACGAGGGGCTGGCTAGGCGCAAGGGGCCGATTAGGCGCTAGGGGCGAGAGGGGCCGGCTAAGTGCGAGGGGCCGGCTAGGCGCTAGGGGCCGGCTGCGGCGTGAGAGGGGCTGGCTAAGCACGAGGGGCCGGCTAGGCACGAGGGGCCGGTTGCGGCGTGAGAGGGGCCGGCTAAGCGAGAGGGGCTGGCTAGGGCGCGAGAGGGGCCGGCTGGGTGCAGAGGGGCCGACTAGGTGCGAGGGGCCGGCTACGGTGCGAGGGGTCGGCTAGGCGCGAGAGGGGCCGGCTGGGCGCGAGGGGTCGACTAGGCGCGAGAGGGATCGCCTGGGCACGAGAGTCCGGCTACGACGAGAGGGGCCGGCTACGGCGCGAGAGGGATCGGCTGGACACGAAGGGGTCGGCTAGGCACGAGGGGCCGACTAGGCGCGAGAGGAGCCGGCTGGGCGCGAGGGGCTGGCTAGGCGCGAGGGGACGGCGGGCATGCTAGGGGCCGGTGAGGCACGGTATGCTAGGGCGCGGGGCGGAATCAGGTGGGTGGACCTAACCTACCGTATTCCCCCGTGTATAAGACCCGCCAAAATAGTCACCCTATGGGTGGCATATGCGGGGGATAGCTTAAGATATGGTGCATTTTATATAGTATGAATTATACATACTGTAACACCCTCCATCGAGGATTTGTGGATTTTCCAGGTCCAGCATCAAGGTTTAATCATTAGACAACATTTTTAACACTACTCTAAAGCCTATCCGTTGTGCGAGGCATTTCTAGTGCATTTTCGACTACCTAAGCCAGCTACCACTACCATTCACTCAGCACACACTGATAATCCAACAGCTAGCTACTGTATATGTCCTAGAATGTAAGTCAATAGTTAGTCTCTGTCGTCGTCCTCATCGTGGTCCTCTCCTGCATGCCATACCTTGGCATCTTCGTCGTCACTGGCGATGTCGTCCCAGTCAAAGTCATCAGTCCAGCAGGACGCAGCCAGGCCCGCCAGAACCTCCGCCGCAGGCATCTCTAGACCTTCGTCGCCTTCGGCAGCTAATATCTCCGCCTCTGTCGCTGCTTCTATAGAGGTTGTTGCTGCTGTTGCTGTGCGGGCTCCTGGATTCCCAGACACCTCTGATGCTGGCGCGGCTACTGCAGCTCCCGATGCACCGGTTGATGAGGCAGTTGCTGCTGCTTCAATCTCAGCCTCAACATCGGGATCGTGATGAGGTTTTAAAGACAAACAATAAAGACATTACTCACCAGCAGGGGTTGTGGACTCGCAGCCGAATTCTTCGAACCACTCGCAGTAGGACCTCCGGACATGTGCCTTGACGCAGCGGTTTACCGTCATGTCTAGAGGCTGCACGATGGGCGTGCAGCCACCGGGGATGACAGCCCTGGACAGCTTGAAGAGTCGCATCAACTGGGACACTCCCTCCTTCAGGTGTCCCTTGTACGAATCAAGGACCACCAAAGCCTTCTGACGGCCACCGCGCCGCGAGGCTATCGAGCGGAGAAATGGCACCAGGACGGTGGTGACCCAGTCCTTGACATGGGTCTCGTCCATCCACCCTTGCTCCTGGGCCTTGATCACAATTCCTGCACAAGCGCAAGGTAGGAAACATTAGAGTTCGCCCTGGAAAGACGGCTATGAAAAACAGGCACGGAATCCTTACCGGGCGGGACGCGGATCCGAGGTAGTGTCTTCCGCTTGAAGATGACGTACGGCTTTAGTTTCTTGCCACTTGCTGTGACAGCCAGCATGACGGTCAGCCTCTCCTTCTCGTAGCCGGCCGCGCGCACATGGACGCTTCTCGAGCCCCGGACTTCGAGTGTGGTCTCCTGCGGCATCTCCAAGAATAGTGGCGTCTGATCCGCGTTGATGATCACATCGTCGAGGTAGTCATTGAGCGTGCAGAGCTGCCAAACGAACTCCCATAACTTCTCGACCTTCGCGTCACAGTCTGCCAATGAAAATAATAAAAAACAAAAGCAGGCAAAGCATAAGTACGGTCAGCAAACAAGGAAGCCCGACGAGAGCTAGAGCAGATGACGAGGGCAGGGAGTATTTGCGGCATGTCAAATTACCTATCTGCAATCATGCGATGGCCCATTTTCGTCTTCACGGGCTTCGTCAGTCCCCAGCGCGCGCGGAACCGGAAGGTCCACCGTGACGAGGCGCGCCAATCGATATCGGGGTGGTGCTTACTCATGTAATTCCGACTCCATTTCTGCAGCGTGCCGATCGAGACCGCCAGCCCTCGCGCGCGCTGGCTCAAGAACTTCTTGTACAGCTCGCGCTCCATGGTGGGGTACGTCGCCTTCCTACCGGAGCCGATGAGGCGACGCCTGCAGCCAGCCGAGGCAGTGAGTCATGCCTTAATCTTCTTCCAGCTGTGAATCTGGCACGGCTGCACTCCAGCCATCCAAGCAAGGGAGCGGTTCGACATCTCCGGGTCCGCCTCCAACTTCGCCAACCAGTACAGCTTCTCGGTTGCCGTCCGTGCAAGTCGCTTGTGATTCGTCCTGCGAACCCTGGGGGAGGGAGGTGCAGCATCACGGTTGCGAATAGGCATATCACGACAGTATTGCGCTTGCGGGAAACGAGGCATGATAACGCGAGGAAGTGGGCGAGGAGGTTCAGGCTCGCGGTCGTCAGCCTCAGCCTCCTCCCAAAACAAGTCGTCGTAATCCTGCCAATCGTTGTCCCACTCCGGGGGACGAGTGACCACCGGCGACGAGATAGGTAGCGGAGCGGGGGAGTCGGGGGCGCAGGAGGAGCAGGAGGTGTAGGGGGCGCTGGTGGTGCGGGTGGCGCCGGAGGAGGGGGAGGAGCGGGAGATGCAGGCGGATATCTAGGAGCCGAAGGAACTGGTGGGAAAGGACAGAGCAACGTCTGATTCCCGAAGGGTGGGCGATGAGCTCGCAAAAGTGACACACCACTAACTGCTCGAGCGGCCATGGGGGAAATTTTCGACGTGGGATAGCGGCTAGGCGAGATTGGGCAATGCCCGAGCCTCTGCTAGAGAGCCCGGGCATTGTGAAGAATTTGATCGAGGCTGAGAGGAGTGAGGAGCAAGAATGACGATGCGGCAAGAGAAGGTTGGAGAAGAACCGTGGCCGACGCCTCAAGCCGAAGCGCGCACGGCTCTGCAAGAAGCGATGGGACCATGCATGCTAGTCCCATCAAGAAGATTTCGTAAAGGAATCTGGTCGCGCACTTCAACCTGCTGCTGTTACGTTGTAAAAACACGGGATTCCTACCCGTCGACGAAATCTTGTCAGTTGCAGGAAGCAGCTTTCCTCTTGTGCTGGCAGGACCAACTTCCTCGGATTGGCTGCAAATGCAGCACGTCATGACGTTATCGCCAGGCTGGCCCGAGTGGAGGTTGGGGATCGTCATCTAAACCTCGCCTAGGGTGTCATCCTATACTGTGCATGTATTTCTGCATGTTACGCCCCAAAATCATTTTGCATTATACATGAGACATGGGCGTTATATTTTTCCAGCCTACTGTTAACACCCATTCGTTTTTTTAATGAATTTTTGACAATACACTAGGGTGTTATATACGGGGGAATATGGACTCGTGATACCATGTTAGAATACTATAACAACTTAGCAAGAAGAGAGAACAAGGGAGATATATGGTTTGCTTTGTACCGTAATCCCCCGTATATAACACCCTATGGTGTATATAAAAATTCACTAAAAAAATGACTGGGTGTTAACAGTGGCCCGGAAAAATATAGTGCCCATGTGTTATGTAAAATGCAATTTGAATTTGAGTGTTTTAGGCCTTGGGTGTTCAAAAATGCGCGGAGCGACTGTTAGCGAGGTACCGCATCCGCTGCGACGAAACTCACAAACCAATCGTCGTTGGCCAATCCCTGCTGAGTGTTGTAGTCAGGGCCAGGTTTGTGCGGCACCTGCGACCCAGGGCTCAAATTAGCCGGGTAAAATGCCCTGATTGCCCTGATTTTTCAGGGCATTTTTTCATTTGGTCTTAAAAATCAGACTTACGAAATTTATTACCCTGATCCAAAAAGTGTTACGAAAATATTACCCTGCCGAAACTAGGGTTGCGGGGCCCCGAACCCTGACCCTTCAGGGCGTCCTGAAAACTACCCTGGTATCGAAACTCCGAGATTCCGACTAAGTCCTTGGCGGCCAGAAACATTTCCCCCAAAACACCCTGCAACCAAAAATTTCGACGAAGTCCCTGGCAGCCAGAGTCATTCCTCCCACCCCACGCACCATGCAAGCCAGCAATTTCGGCTAAGTCGTAGCCAGAGTCATAGCTCCCTCACCCCCTCGCAACCCAGAAATGGCTAAGTCCCCCACAAGAGACATGCCTCCCAACCACACCCCCGCTACTTTTTTTTTTCCGCTAAGTCCTCCACACCACAGCAAGACACGTCACGTCGTATACGCCCTTCTGACACCCAACCAATCACGAGCAGATGGTTTTTTTCCCGCCCCTCTGCCGCCCATGTAAATCTGATTCCCCTCTCGCGCCCCAGAATCGTTTTCCGTCCCATCCCATCCCCCAATCTCCCCCAGCACGCGCAAATCCGCTACACCCTTCTTTCCACACCTCAGTGCAGCCCACTTCATTCATGTAAAATGTTCCTTAAATGGCCAAGGCTAGAAAGGGTGCAAAGAGTTCTACACTTGAAGCAAAGACTTCGAATTTTTTTACCCTGCCAAATCAGACTTAGAATTTTTTTAGCTCTGACCGTCAGGGCATTTTTTTTTTCCTACTCTGATCTCAAAGAGTGGCCTAAAACCAATTTTGGGCCCTGCTGCGACCGTCATGATCGCGACAGAATCCGCAACTTCGACGGGTGGATTTCGCTCGGGAGGATTCTGACCATCAAATCACAACAGAATCCGCGAATTCAACGGTCGAAATCCTCCCGTCTCGACCTTTGCTGACGTTTCGATTTCGCGCTGCAACTTGTGTTGATGTTTCTGCCCGTTTTTCGCTGCTAATGGTAGTTGACATTGCGTTTTTCATCCTGTTCGATTTTTTTCTCAATCGAGCTGAGCTTGAAAAACTACGAAATACTGTTCTTTGCTGCCTAAAACGAGGAGGGTGTTATGTAAAATGCAGCCCCCGAAAAGCGGGTGCTCTCCTAAATTCACCCTATCATAAGCTCTCCCCCGCATAAACCACCCGCGGAGTGACTATTTCGGCGGGTGTTATTGTCAAAAGACTAGCTTAGCTAGGAAGCCATAGAATGGCACAAGGTTTAGCTAGGAGCTAGGAGGAGCCATGAGAATGGCGAGAGGTTTTAGGTGCTAGGAAAGTTGAGGAGAGAAAAGAGAGTTGGATTAGAAGAGAGGGGAGTACAAGGAGGGGTTTGTACCCCCTACAGAAAGGTTCAGTAACAACCTACCAAGCCTATATTAAATTATAACTTATATAATTAACACACCCCCTAGGCTTGGTAGTCACATGCCCACACACACCCACACCCCCTAACCTAGCACCCCCATTCCAGCCACAGTGACAGCGACTCTAGGTCGGTCGACCCACGGTGCGTGAGGCGGCGACGTCGACCGCAGGGGCTGCGGCGGCGACGGCAGCAGCGGCGGCAGTGTCGACAGCGGCGGCGGCGGCGGCGTGCGGCTGCGTGGCCCCGACGCAAGCGGCGACAGCGGCGGCGGCGGCGGCTTCGACAACAGCGGCAGCGGCGGCGGCACCCGCACCTCTCGGTGACGTGGCCAGGCCCCGCGACGGTGGGACGGCCGGCGGGAGTCAGCCGTCGTCTGCGGAATGGAAGAGGGCACAGGGGAAGGAGGGGGGTGGGGGGGGGGGCGGGCGCCACAGGCTGACATGCGGGCGGCCGGTCTAGCGGCGCCACAAGCGTCACGCGGCCGGCTGCAGCCCGACGACGCCATCATGGAGCGGCGTCGATGCCGCAGCGGGGCGTCGACGTTGCGACGGCAGCACGACGTCGCCGTTACGCCGACCGCGCGCTGTCGCGTAGACGCCGCGGCAGCGTGACGGCGCCGTCACGTCGCGACAGCATCTTGACGCGACGGCGGAGCTGCGGCACGACGGCGCGGCCACAGCAGCTGGACGCGGGCGCCATGGACGTCGACGGCGGCGCCGCGGCACGACGACGCGGCCACAGCAGCTTGACGCGGCCGCCATGGCAGCGCGAGATAGAGAGAGAAACGAGCACGCAGCGGAAACGCGAGGAGCAGGCCCACACGGAACGAACTGCTCTGATACCATGTCAAAAGACTAGCTTAGCTAGGAAGCCATAGAATGGCACAAGGTTTAGCTAGGAGCTAGGAGGAGCCATGAGAATGGCGAGAGGTTTTAGGTGCTAGGAAAGTTGAGGAGAGAAAAGAGAGTTGGATTAGAAGAGAGGGGAGTACAAGGAGGGGTTTGTACCCCCTACAGAAAGGTTCAGTAACAACCTACCAAGCCTATATTAAATTATAACTTATATAATTTGAACAGTTATATACGGGGGATTACGGTACTCTCTAAGAACACACACCTATTCTAGCCTACACGCAAGTGCATATATAAGTTGACAGGTCCAAGTCTGGGAAGACGTTCGTAGGAACAGGCTCTCAACTGGAATTAAGGAAACAGAAAAAACGAAGTCTAAATTGCAAGTGGTGAAGTTTCTTGCGGCAAATTTTCCATCTGAATGTTCAGACTCGCGTAAAAAAATCGTCTGAAATCTGTCTCGAAAATTTTCATCAGATGGTCAGACCAAATCTTGGAACCCCGTCTGATTTTCGGACAGCCCTAAATCCTAGCTGAAACCCTGCTGTGGAAGTGCCGTGCGATACGGTTCGTCGGCTCCAGCATGTGCGACTCCACGCGGAAACATTAGCAATCGAATTCCCTTTTACTGAATGGGCCTATGCCAATATCCTATCGGCAGACACATGCGCGACGTGACGTGGCTACAAGCCTGAGCTGATCCTGGCGTTATAGGTTGCCCGCCAGGATCAGCTCTCCTGATCCTGATCCTGGACGGTAGGGATACGCCCTTAGCATGTGAATTCTTACGAATGTCCTCTGGAATTTGGTTTGACAGCAGTTTGGCCGTCTGGCAGATCCGAGGGAGACGTCACAGTTGCCTGTCGTCACAACACCATTACTGGTTGCTCAATTGTGCAGTGGGCACTACTACTATCGGTTGCCACTCAAGAGGCCTGACAGCGACGGCACCTGCTGCTGCTGCATCTGCTCCTGCATCTGCTTCATCTCCTCCGGGTCTGGAAGGAAAGGAACACGAGGGGGAGGATGAGCATGACGACGAGCAAAGAGGTTATGCCCGTCAAGCTGGTATATCAAATCAAATCAAATCGCATATCCCGTTGCACTTGGCTCACCTATGGAGTCCGCGAGGCGGGGGAGGATGACCATGGCAACAAGCATAAAGAAGATCATGAAGCCATGACCACAGAGCTATAATCAGTCACATACGAAGTTACATTCCACCCACCTATGGAGTCGGCGAGGCGGGGGAGGATGACCATGACGACAAGCATGAGGCAGATCATGATGCCCATGGGGTTCTTCAGTAGCGTCCATATGGTGAACGGTTCGCGCTTCTGCGCGGCACGCAGGCAAGGCAGGGGGTAGCATGGACACAAGGGGCTGAAAGGCTCTACCTCACCTCAAAGTACTCCTCAGCCGCAAAGGGCGAGATGATAAGCGGTTCAATTGACAGGCCGGCAGGTCCTTGCTCCTGGCTAACTTTACTTGGCCTCGGACTCTCATCCGAGAATGACAATGTTCTTAATCCCGTCATCAACACTGTCGGTCGAGCCTGTCATCATTTCACCTCAAAGTACTCCTCAGCCGGAAAGGGTGAAATTATGAGGGGGTCGATCGACAGGCTCGCAGGTCCTTGCTCCCAGTTACCGTGGCTCAGACTCACACCCGTGGCTCAGACTCACACCCGTGGCTCAGACTCACACCCGTGGCTCAGACTCACACCCGTGGCTCAGACTCACACCCGTGGCTCAGACTCACACCCGTGGCTCAGACTCACACCCGTGGCTCAGACTCACACCCGTGGCTCAGACTCACACCCGTGGCTCAGACTCACACCCGTGGCTCAGACTCACACCCGTGGCTCAGACTCACACCCGTGGCTCAGACTCACACCCGTGGCTCAGACTCACACCCGTGGCTCAGACTCACACCCGTGGCTCAGACTCACACCCGTGGCTCAGACTCACACCCGTGGCTCAGACTCACACCCGTGGCTCAGACTCACACCCGTGGCGTGGCTCAGACTCACACCCGTGGCTCAGACTCACACCCGTGGCTCAGACTCACACCCGTGGCTCAGACTCACACCCGTGGCTCAGACTCACACCCGTGGCTCAGACTCACACCCGTGGCTCAGACTCACACCCGTGGCTCAGACTCACACCCGTGGCTCAGACTCACACCCGTGGCTCAGACTCACACCCGTGGCTCAGACTCACACCCGTGGCTCAGACTCACACCCGTGGCTCAGACTCACACCCGTGGCTCAGACTCACACCCGTGGCTCAGACTCACACCCGTGGCTCAGACTCACACCCCCCCCCCCCCCCCCCCCCCCACCCCGTGGCTCAGACTCACACCCGTGGCTCAGACTCACACCCGTGGCTCAGACTCACACCCGTGGCTCAGACTCACACCCGTGGCTCAGACTCACACCCGTGGCTCAGACTCACACCCGTGGCTCAGACTCACACCCGTGGCTCAGACTCACACCCGTGGCTCAGACTCACACCCGTGGCTCAGACTCACACCCGTGGCTCAGACTCACACCCGTGGCTCAGACTCACACCCGTGGCTCAGACTCACACCCGTGGCTCAGACTCACACCCGTGGCTCAGACTCACACCCGTGGCTCAGACTCACACCCGTGGCTGCAAGTGTCCCCCCTCCCCCTCATCTCAACCGAAGTACTCCTCATCCGCAAAGGGCGAGATGATGAGGAGGTCGACTGACAGGCTGGCTGGCGCTTGTCCAGGTGTATTTTGAGTCGACTCAAATACACCCTCACCTCAACCGAGGTACTCCTCATCCGCAAAGGGCGAGATGATACGGAGGTCGACTGACAGGCTGGCTGGCGGCTGGCGCTTGCTCATGGTTTCTTGCGCATGATTTTCATGATTTCATGGTTTCATGATTTCATGATTTCATGGTTTCATGATTTCATGGTTTTCATGGTTTCATGGTGTTGTCGAGGTGAGTATTTATTGTTCCCGATTACCCGGTGAGTATTTCTTGTTCCCGATTACCCTCACCTCGAAATACTTCAGCTGCAAACGGCAAGATGATGAGGGGATCGATCGACAGGCTCACTCGCACGCTATGCTCGCAGGCCCTTGCTCTTGGTTAATGTGCCCATGCTTTACTGTTCCCCCTCCCCCTCACCTCAAAGTACTCTTCAGCCGCGAAGGGCGAGATGATGAGGGGGTCGATCGACAGGCTTGCCGGCCCTTGCTCTCGGATCACCACAGCTCGGAAGTTTCCTGCATGCTTCGCACTGATTTGCAGCATGACCTGGGCAGGCAGGAAACAGGGATGCAATACGGAGCACACAAGAAAAAAGGCACAGATTCACAAGATTTCCCTGTCAGAACGTGCAAGCACAGGAGCTGCACATAGTAATCATAAGAAATTCACGTGGCAATCACAATAAAATCACGTGGCAATCACAAGAAAATCACGTGGCAACCACAAGAAATTCACATGGCAATCACAAGAGCTTCACAGGAGCTTAACTCGACAGAGATTCCCTTGCCTTGCCATTCGCAATTTCACGAAACCAAAGCTGGGTGAACTAAGACCATGCGTCCGGTGATCGCCAGATGAGCGCCTCAGTTCTAACCAAGATATAAAAAAAAAAATTGGGTCTGTCCAGGTTCAGGGTTCAAATCCCCAACAAGGCAAGCTCTCCACTAGAGACCCGTCATCTTCTGCCACGCCACACGTCACAGCCTCCAATGATGCCGTGCGGACTGACTGGCTCACGGGTGGGCAGTGGGCGATGCATTTCAGGGGATTAGCTTGCTACCATGGGGGGGATACTTGCTTCCTGCAGGACAACAGGGAAGCTACAACCGCATGCAGCCAGCCAACCAGCGCGAACACCGCGAGCCAGCTGGCCCTATTGCCAGCCAACAGGCAGGCAGTCAGTCCCCCACTGGCTGACCGCCTCGCACGGGGGAAATACTAGCTCAGAGGCAGGGAGACAGGGGGTTCACAACACAGCATGCAGCCAGCCACCCAGGAAGAACACCGCCAGCCAGTCCCCCACTGGCTGACCGCCTCGCACGGGGGAAATACTAGCTCAGAGGCAGGGAGACAGGGGGTTCACAACACAGCATGCAGCCAGCCACCCAGGAAGAACACCGCCAGCCAGTCCCCCACTGGCTGACCGCCTCGCACGGGGGAAATACTAGCTCAGAGGCAGGGAGACAGGGGGTTCACAACACAGCATGCAGCCAGCCACCCAGGAAGAACACCGCCAGCCAGTCCCCCACTGGCTTACCGCCTCGCACGGGGGAAATACTAGCTCAGAGGCAGGGAGACAGGGGGTTCACAACACAGCATGCAGCCAGCCACCCAGGAAGAACACCGCCAGCCAGTCCCCCACTGGCTGACCGCCTCGCACGGGGGAAATACTAGCTCAGAGGCAGGGAGACAGGGGGTTCACAACACAGCATGCAGCCAGCCACCCAGGAAGAACACCGCCAGCCAGTCCCCCACTGGCTGACCGCCTCGCACGGGGGAAATACTAGCTCAGAGGCAGGGAGACAGGGGGTTCACAACACAGCATGCAGCCAGCCACCCAGGAAGAACACCGCCAGCCAGTCCCCCACTGGCTTACCGCCTCGCACGGGGGAAATACTAGCTCAGAGGCAGGGAGACAGGGGGTTCACAACACAGCATGCAGCCAGCCACCCAGGAAGAACACCGCCAGCCAGTCCCCCACTGGCTTACCGCCTCGCACGGGGGAAATACTAGCTCAGAGGCAGGGAGACAGGGGGTTCACAACACAGCATGCAGCCAGCCACCCAGGAAGAACACCGCCAGCCAGTCCCCCACTGGCTGACCGCCTCGCACGGGGGAAATACTAGCTCAGAGGCAGGGAGACAGGGGGTTCACAACACAGCATGCAGCCAGCCACCCAGGAAGAACACCGCCAGCCAGTCCCCCACTGGCTTACCGCCTCGCACGGGGGAAATACTAGCTCAGAGGCAGGGAGACAGGGGGTTCACAACACAGCATGCAGCCAGCCACCCAGGAAGAACACCGCCAGCCAGTCCCCCACTGGCTTACCGCCTCGCACGGGGGAAATACTAGCTCAGAGGCAGGGAGACAGGGGGTTCACAACACAGCATGCAGCCAGCCACCCAGGAAGAACACCGCCAGCCAGTCCCCCACTGGCTGACCGCCTCGCACGGGGGAAATACTAGCTCAGAGGCAGGGAGACAGGGGGTTCACAACACAGCATGCAGCCAGCCACCCAGGAAGAACACCGCCAGCCAGTCCCCCACTGGCTGACCGCCTCGCACGGGGGAAATACTAGCTCAGAGGCAGGGAGACAGGGGGTTCACAACACAGCATGCAGCCAGCCACCCAGGAAGAACACCGCCAGCCAGTCCCCCACTGGCTGACCGCCTCGCACGGGGGAAATACTAGCTCAGAGGCAGGGAGACAGGGGGTTCACAACACAGCATGCAGCCAGCCACCCAGGAAGAACACCGCCAGCCAGTCCCCCACTGGCTTACCGCCTCGCACGGGGGAAATACTAGCTCAGAGGCAGGGAGACAGGGGGTTCACAACACAGCATGCAGCCAGCCACCCAGGAAGAACACCGCCAGCCAGTCCCCCACTGGCTTACCGCCTCGCACGGGGGAAATACTAGCTCAGAGGCAGGGAGACAGGGGGTTCACAACACAGCATGCAGCCAGCCACCCAGGAAGAACACCGCCAGCCAGTCCCCCACTGGCTGACCGCCTCGCACGGGGGAAATACTAGCTCAGAGGCAGGGAGACAGGGGGTTCACAACACAGCATGCAGCCAGCCACCCAGGAAGAACACCGCCAGCCAGTCCCCCACTGGCTTACCGCCTCGCACGGGGGAAATACTAGCTCAGAGGCAGGGAGACAGGGGGTTCACAACACAGCATGCAGCCAGCCACCCAGGAAGAACACCGCCAGCCAGTCCCCCACTGGCTTACCGCCTCGCACGGGGGAAATACTAGCTCAGAGGCAGGGAGACAGGGGGTTCACAACACAGCATGCAGCCAGCCACCCAGGAAGAACACCGCCAGCCAGTCCCCCACTGGCTGACCGCCTCGCACGGGGGAAATACTAGCTCAGAGGCAGGGAGACAGGGGGTTCACAACACAGCATGCAGCCAGCCACCCAGGAAGAACACCGCCAGCCAGTCCCCCACTGGCTTACCGCCTCGCACGGGGGAAATACTAGCTCAGAGGCAGGGAGACAGGGGGTTCACAACACAGCATGCAGCCAGCCACCCAGGAAGAACACCGCCAGCCAGTCCCCCACTGGCTTACCGCCTCGCACGGGGGAAATACTAGCTCAGAGGCAGGGAGACAGGGGGTTCACAACACAGCATGCAGCCAGCCACCCAGGAAGAACACCGCCAGCCAGTCCCCCACTGGCTGACCGCCTCGCACGGGGGAAATACTAGCTCAGAGGCAGGGAGACAGGGGGTTCACAACACAGCATGCAGCCAGCCACCCAGGAAGAACACCGCCAGCCAGTCCCCCACTGGCTGACCGCCTCGCACGGGGGAAATACTAGCTCAGAGGCAGGGAGACAGGGGGTTCACAACACAGCATGCAGCCAGCCACCCAGGAAGAACACCGCCAGCCAGTCCCCCACTGGCTTACCGCCTCGCACGGGGGAAATACTAGCTCAGAGGCAGGGAGACAGGGGGTTCACAACACAGCATGCAGCCAGCCACCCAGGAAGAACACCGCCAGCCAGTCCCCCACTGGCTTACCGCCTCGCACGGGGGAAATACTAGCTCAGAGGCAGGGAGACAGGGGATTCATGGGCTTACCGGGAGGAAGAAAGCGCCAGGGGCGGTCACCTGCAGCGTGTGAGTGCCTGGAGATAAATTGCTGTGGGGCGTGTGGAATGGAGCGTGGGGGAGGGAGGGAGGTAGGGTGAAGGTTAGAGGGAAGTAACTTGTGGGGCGACTCAGCAGAGAGGGGCAGAGACGGGGAGGATAAGAGGGAAGGGGAAGAGAGCGCAAAGCGTGAGGATAGGGGAGTGGGGCGAGGGTCTTATATCGGAAAACGGAGATGATTATATGGAGAACAGAGGGTCTTACATGGAGAAGTATCCGTTGGATCGCACAAACGCCACTGAATCACCGCCGTTGATCAGGATCTTCACAGCCGTCGATTTGATCTTCAACGCTGCGCCCACGTGAGAGATGGAAAGAGAAACGTGGACGAGGTCAGAAAGAAAGAATGGCAGGGGCAGTTTGAACGCGCAGCACTGGCTTCGTCATTCTCGTGCTAATAACGGGGATGAAAAGAGGCACGGCGGAAGATAGTTTTTAAAGGAATTTTTCAAAATCTGAAACCCGAATCCACCATCCAGTCGCACATAGCCGTTTATCCTCCGCCACGAGGTACCTGTTTACCCCGCCCGCATGACAATAACGGGGATGAGAGACGAGATTCAATCATAAACCTACCATCTAGCCGCACATAGCCGTCCACTACGGTACCACCCTCCAGAGCCACTGCGTTGGCTGCTTGAGCCGATCCCGCTGCTAAGGTCAGCAGACACGCGATCAGTAGCGAAGCGGCTACAGCTGAGATCGCCGATCGGCAGGCGAGGGGGGGAAGAGCCATTTCTGGGGTGAATAGGAAGCAAGGAAGGTCGATCCCTACGATGATTGGAGGCGACTGACGACAGGCGACAGGCGACAGGCGACCGGCGATCTCAGGGTGAGCGTAGACTGGGAAGGACGGGGAGGAGCGGAACCCACCCGTGAATCCACGGAGGAGCAGAGCGGATTCACGATGAATGTTGGATTCGTAACTAAAATATTAGGTTATAGAAAGCAGACAATTTAGATCCTGCGGTTAGTGATTCGGTCTTTCCTCATGGAAGGAGAGTGAGGGACTATTCATTTAGTCATCGTTTCGTTGGGCCCGATCGGGTAGAGCGGTGAAGTGAACCATCTTTGTTTGTGCATTGTTGCAGGTTCAGTACGTTTGATTAATAATAAAAAACGGTACAGCAAGATGCATGTTTAAGGTCTCGTGCCGAAACCGCTACGTGCGATTGCGAAAATCAGAAAGCAGTAGAGAAACTCACGAAAGACCCGCACGAGGAACATGCGAGATAAGATCCATTATGGTAACCAGCTCTTCGAACCTTGCTGGTTCGACAAAATCGCGAATCACAAGCGACTTGGTTTCTGCGAGCGACAGCTTTGTGGAGAACTGTCGCCCAGCGACATTCCGTTCATAATCAAGTAACCACTTGCGAAAAACAGCAGTAAGACAACTAGCAAATACTGCCTTTCACAGATCATCCCGCTGTGCGACTTGTCAGAAGCTTAACGCTATCAGGCTGGGATGATGAGATTCTGAAGCGTAACTTTCACGTACCAGGGAAATTCCGAAATAGTATTTCTGTGAAATTCAGGGTTTTTAGAGGTGCGGATTTATCAAGGAGAAGGCGGCTGTTCGTGTGAGGTCGTGTGGAATAGCTCCAACACAAGACCGAACCCGGCTGTTCGTGCCACAAGATCCTGGTTCCACCGTCGATCTCCTTCCTGGTCGCCACGAGAAACGGTTTCTCCGTCCGTTCCCTTCCCTTGCAGACTCCCTCGCTCCTAGCGGCTATATTCTTTCCACTCGCAGCGCAGGAGCGTGATAAGGGAGAGTGGAGAGAAAGAGGAGTTCGGAAGAGGTATGAGAGAAATGAGGGAGAGGAGTGAGAAGAGGAAGGAGTGAGAGGACTGGCTCGTCCAGAAATCAGGCTCCTGAGGTTTTAAGTGTATTCCGAAAATGCTTTCCACAGTGACGCGCCTTCTTGCCTGCAATTCAACTATCATGCGCCTTCGGTGGTGCTTTCCCCATTGGTTGTCTGTCTGACGGTCTTCTTTTCACTTGCATTATCTTTTATCCGTTTTTTAAGCTTTCGTTCCGCCCCTCACCATCCGCGCGTGTTTTTGCTTGCCACCGCAGGAGCAGCAGCAGCAGCTGGAGGAGGAGGAGGAGGAGCAGGAGGACACGAGCTGTGAGGCCACAAATCTGACTACGCCTCGAAACAAATCTGCTATCGCAGCAGCACGCGTCGCGCATTCTGCAAGGCTACAGTATTAGCAGTTGTTTGGTGTTGTGCCTTCTGCCATCAGCCCCATGGCGCCTGTCACATCCGCCAGCACTCAGCCCTGGGTGGAGAAGTAGTGAGTGCAGGTCTTTGGTTCAGGTATAAGTGCGAATCTCTCTGCTTATTGTCGCTGCTCCAGTCTGCCCCATAGGGCTGAGTGCTGAGCGCTCCAGTCTGCCCCATGAGGCTGAGTGCTGAGCGCTCCAGTTTGCTCCATGGCGCCTGCACTCAGCCCTGGGTGGAGAAGTCGTATGTGCAGGTGTAGCGTCTAGGAATGAGTGCGAATCTCTCTGCTCGGTGGTGTCTTCTCCCATCACCTTCTTGGTTGGCGCCTCTCACATTCGCCAGCACTCAGCCCTGGGTGGAGAAGTAGTGAGAGCAGGTCTGGTAAGTGCAGCTCTGGTAAGTGCAGGTCTGGTATGCGCTGGTCTGGTAAGTGCAGGTCTGGTAAGTGCAGGTCTGGTATGCGCAGGTCTGGTAAGTGCAGTTCTGGTAAGTGCATGTCTGGTAAGTGCAGGTCTGGTAAGTGCTGCAGGTCTGGTAAGTGCAGGTCTGGTAGGTGCAGGTCTGGTATGCGCAGGTCTGGTAAGTGCAGTTCTGGTAAGTGCATGTCTGGTAAATGCAGGTCTGGTAAATGCAGGTCTGGTAAATGCAGGTCTGGTAAATGCAGGTCTGGTAAGTGCAGGTCTGGTAAATGCAGGTCTGGTACTAGTAAGTGCATGTCTGGTAAGTGCCGGTCTGGTAAGTGCAGACTTGCAGGTCTGGTAAGTGCAGGTGTAGGGGGTGCAGGTCAGCTGGCTGTCGCGACTCATTGGTGTGTTGGTGCTTGTGCCGTCTAACATGCCACTCACATGCACCAACACTCAACTCAGCCGTGGGTAGGCCTCACAACCGGGAGTAGTCCTCCTTGCAGGCATCATCCACCTGGGTGACTGTTGAGTCGACTCAAAAGCCACACCCTTACAGCCGGGGGTAGTCCTCCTTGCAGGCATCATCCACCTGGGTGACTGTTGAGTCGACTCAAAAGCCACACCCTTACAGCCGGGGGTAGTCCTCCTTGCAGGCATCGTCCACCTTCTCGTCCTGATCGTTGCATCTGATCCACCCCTTAGTCAGCGTTGAGTCACAATGGACCTGTGAACGTGCCTTTTGTACCCTGTGACCTGTCAAGGTGGCACTTGCAGTGCTGTCAGCTGCTGATGTCAGCCTGCTGACGTGGCACATCGAAGGAAGGTGACTCAATCTCTTCTGGCACTCTTGTTTGTTTTCGCCCCTGCAGCCGCCCCAAGCAGGTGTCTGACGTGGCACACCAGCAGGAGGTGGTGGCTACACTCAACAACACGCTGGCCACAGGCAATGTGAGATGGGGGATGGGATGTAAGATAATGGCTGGCACAGTGGCTGCGCTTATCACCACACTGGCCACAGGCAACGCGAGAAAGAACACAGGAAGGGAGGGAAGGGATGGGAGATAAGGGGTTACCGGGTTACCCCCCGAATCCCACACTCGAGGAGGAGGTGGTGGCTACACTCCACAACACACTGGCCACAGGCAATGTGAGATGGGGGATGTGTGAGGAGGGTTGGGAGAGAAGCGATGGGAGAAAAGGGATGGGAGCTAGGTAAAGCATGGCTGGGATGGTGGTAACACTCAAGAACACTCTGGCGGCCACAGGCAATGCGTGAGTGAAAGTTTCCAGGGAGTGAGAGAAGGGATGTGAAGGGAAGGGAGGTGAGAGAGGGGGTGTGAGGGATTGCACATGAATGCACATGCATGTGAATGCAGACGCATGTGAATGCAGACGCATGTGAATGCAGACGCATGTGAATGCAGACGCATGTGAATGCAGACGCATGTGAATGCAGACGCATGTGAATGCAGACGCATGTGAATGCAGACGCATGTGAATGCAGACGCATGTGAATGCAGATGCATGTGAATGCAGACGCATGTGAATGCAGACGCATGTGAATGCAGACGCATGTGAATGCAGACGCATGTGAATGCAGATGCATCTTTTCTCGCTCGGCTCACCTTCTTCCTCTCTTCCCCCTTTGCTCCCTTCCTTTGCTTCCCTCCCCTCCCTCCCTTTCCCCCTCCCGCCTTGCTCTCTCTCTCCCTCCAATCCCACCCCACCCCTCGCCTTGCTGCTTCTCCATCTTAGCTCCCCCACCTGCTCTTCTACGGCCCGCCAGGCACGGCCAAGACGTCCACTCAGCTCTGCCAACTACGTGGCACTGATTCGTCCGTCTCATCCCTTCACCTCTTCATCTCTCACTGCTCTCCCCCTGGCTCCTCCCCCCCAGCTCCCCCACCTGCTCTTCTACGGCCCGCCAGGCACGGGCAAGACGTCCACAGCGCTGGCAATAACCAAGGAGCTGTTCGGGTGAGAAACGGTTGATGCATTATTGTTCCATTGGTGGTGTTTTAGTCGACTCAAAAATTGTTCCATTCCATTCCATAGATCAGGCGCATCGCAGAGATCGCAATGTAAGCTGCGGGCAACGACAAATTTTGTGCAATGGCCTTTACTGGCAATCACCATCCTAGGCATCTCAAAGAGAAATATCCCTCTACAAAGAGCATTGGTGAAAACCAATCATCCGGGCTTCATTGGTGAATGCATCAAAGAGCAGCGATAGTCCGGTCTTGAGGCCTCTGTGTGGTGGAGGGCACTAAAACACCACTGACACGTTACACCACTACCATTGATCAACTCATGCCTCCTATCTTTTGCTAGCGCATCTCCCTCACGGGCCTGACCTCCCTCACAGGCCTGACCTCCCTCACAGGCCTGACCTCCCTCACAGGCCTGACCTCCCTCACAGGCCTGACCTCCTTTACTCCTTCACTGCTCGAGCAGTGTATGTACCCCAGGTTGTTGGAGCTGAACGCCAGTGCAGCCAGTGCTGCCAGTGACGCCAGTGCCGCCAGTGACGCCACTGACGCCAGGCCTGAACGAGGGGCATGCATGTATCTCCCCTCTCCCGCTGCAGGCCTGAGCTCTACTCCTCTCGGGTGCTGGAGCTGAACGCCAGTGACGACAGGGGAATCAGCGTGGTGCGCACCAAGATCAAGGACTTTGCTGGCGTTGCTGTGGGCCACGGGGTCAGGTGAGGGGGTCAGGTGAGGGGTCAGGTGAGGGGCCAGGTGAGCGGCCAGGTGAGCGGCCAGGTGAGCGGCCAGGTGAGTGGTCAGGTGAGGCTGTTTTTTTAGGCTTTTTAGACCGCGACCGAGTGCGAGCAGGTTTGTCCCCATGACAACAATCACATGTGACCATCTCCACTGCTGGCAAGAATGGCAACAGCTTTCTGAGCACAAGTTACCAACTTTGCACCATCTCTCTCTTCGTCCCCACTCTTTCAGCACCTATCCTTTTGAGTCGACTAAAAAATGTGAGCAGGTTTGTCCCCATGACCACCTCCGCTGCTTGTAAAACTTGCAACAGCTGCGCAAGTTATCTAAGCACAACACCAAAACCCCCCTCTCTTCTTTCCCCCCCTTTTCAGCACCTATCCCTTCGTGAATTTCAGATTTACCATTCTGACTAAAGCTGTATTAATGACAGACAATTGTTACACCTTACACTACCCAGCTAAGATAGTCAATTACGTTTTTCAGTTCACGTGCACGCACGTAAAGTTACGTGTAAAATTGCATTTACGGTTTTACGCGTAATTTACGCCGGCCAGACAGAGAAAAAGTTATGGGAAATTTAATTTATACATATTACTCACACAAAAAGCTAGCACTAGTGTTAATACTGTGGGGGGGAAAACCAGTGGTCGAATGGCAGAAGCGAAAGGATTTCCTCAGGGAATGGGGTATGGAAGCTCTACAAGCGTAGAGAGGGGGCTGCTGGGGAAAATGGGTGCGTGCGATGGAAAGAGGAGGTTACTGAAAAGAAGGCGTTGACTGGCTAATTGTTGAGTCACCAACTCTTCTCAACATCATCATCGCACCTGCGACACATTTAACTCGGTCGGCAAGTGACATGCTGACCAATTCCCCCACGGTACGCAACTGACGATTTCGAAGTCCAACCAATCGGGAGTCCACCAAAAACGGTAGTTTCTGGTGTGACAAACTTATTTGGATGTTTGGTACAACGAGTGGAGTGGACAACCATCTCCATACAAGGGGCACACTTGGGAAGCCTAAAAGATAACTCTCTTTCCAAAAACAAAAACTGGTTTTAGAAAATCGTTAACGCAACGTAACGCACACGTAAGCGTAACGTAAACCGACGTACACGTAATCGTAACGTCCATCTTGGTTACCCAGTTGTTCCCCCTCCATGCACCAGCCCCACCCCTTCCATCCCCTCCCTACCCTGCCCTCCTCCCATCCCCTCCCTACCCTGAGTGTTGTTAGCCATGATAGAAGGGAGCAGCAGTGTAATCGAGACTTTTAGCAAAAAGATTGACTGTGAAATGCACAAGTTGCCCGTGTAATAGCCGAGATCTCAGAAAACTGAACTCAGTTCCGATTCAAAAGATTAAAGCAAACATGTTTCGACGTCTAAAGTAAGGACCCTAGAACATCTTCATCAGTGCAGAATGGAACTATGCAAGTGAGTAAGAGAAGCTCTTTAGCAAGAAACCCCTCGACAGTACCAAAATCTAGGCATGTAACAACCGAGGCTGAAATCTGGGCAGCCAATCCTGAACACCCTGGAAAATTCCTGGGGTCAAGTCTTCAGTCCTCAAGGTGATGTCGTGTAAATGTCACGGTTCGCCAACTGGTAGCCTGGGAGCCTCGCGCACACAAGTAACTTTTGAATGTTACGCCCAGCCTTCCATGCAACAAAAATCCTCTCTGTATAAAAACCGCGTGATAGGAGTCTAGTTTTGAGGCGCCTCAAAACTACCCTGCCCTCCTCCCATCCCCTCCCTACCCTGCCCTCCTCCCATCCCCTCCCTACCCTGCCCTCCTTCCATCCCACCCATTTCTTTCCTCCCCTTCTTCTCTCACAGGCCATCCCTCCCAGCCTGTCAAAGCCATGGCTTCTCCTTGACCGAAAGTACTGTTTTCCCCCTCGTCATCGCCTTTCTCCCAGCCACCTTCTGCTACTTCTCTCGGTTCCCCCCCACCCCCCCCCCTCCTCCCTCTTGCCCCCCCCCCCTCTCCCCAGCGGCTACCCCTGCCCGCCTATTCTGGATGAAGCGGATTCAATGACAGCGGACGCTTGATGACCCAAGGTGCCTCTCCTTTCTCCCTCCATTGCCTTCCCACCCCCTCCCACCCCCCCCCAGCGGCTACCCCTGCCCGCCGTTCAAGGTCATCATTCTGGATGAAGCGGATTCAATGACAGAGGACGCTCAGGTGAGGGAGGAGCGAAGCAAGGGAGGAGGGGTGGGGGTTGAGGGAGAGGAGGGAAGGGGAGGCGAGGGCAATGGTTTCAGAGTTGGGTGTGCACAAGAGCCTGATGGATGCTGGACGGTGCATGGAGCTTGCCCACATCATTTTCACACTTCACTGTTTCCAATTTGCGTTGCATTTTTTGGCATGAAATTAATGTCGGTAGAGAGGTCTGAAAAGACATGTTCAAGCCGTTGTCCCATAATGCACTAACAGCGTGAGTTGGTGACGTGGCAACGTGGGGCGAAAGAGTGCGAGTTGTTGACAAGGCAGCGAGAAAGGCTAAGCGAGAAAAACACGCGGGACAAAAAGAGGGGGGGGGACTTGGGGAGGGTTGCACCGGAAAAACTGGACACGAGAAGGAGGGGGGAAAGGGGGGGCAGCAAATGCACGCAACTCTCTCGGATTGCGCAGGGAAAAACGGGACACAAGAGTGGGGGGGACGAGGGGGCCTTACATTTGGTTATTGGGGCACCCAGTGGTATTTGCCAGCTACCCGTTCAGCAAGCTGATCTGTGTGAAGCCGGATTCCACAGCCGGATTTAGTGAAAAACGAATTCGATGTTTTTTGCCGCAATTTGGGTGGTTAAGCGTGAAAAATGTGGGCGGGTAGCGGCGTGACTGGCATGAAAAGTCCCGAAGTGCAGCAGCTTGGTTTTCAAGTTTGTGGGGGAGCTCCCGCTTATTTTTGGTTCGAATGCGACGCTGTTTTGGGTGGGTCTACCTTCACACCTGGTTACCTTTTATTCGCACTTCAAGATTATTAATCTTGGACGCGAAACTTTGCGCTATGGGTCAACGGCTTTAAATGGCTTTTAAAAAAAAATCAAACGCAATGCAAGTGGAACGTAGTGTGGCTTGAGATTGGTATGCGCAAGCTCCGTGCACCATCCAGCATCCATCAGGCTCCTGTCGTGCACCTCCATAACGAATACTGGGTAGATGAGTGGCCTTTTGTTGACACCGACTCGTTGAATGCCTGTCATTGGCGACTTCTTTTATTGGTCAAAGTGGGTGGAGGGACGGGCGTAGCCATTATCTCGACCTCCTCATTCCTCTACACTTCTCTCTTCCTCTCTCACCCTCTCTCCCCCTCTTTCTCCTCGTTTTTCGCTATCAGAACGCTCTTCGCCGGACCATGGAGCTGCACTCGCGAGTCACAAGATTTGTCTTCATCTGCAACTACATCAGCAGGTAGCTGTTCATTTCCTTGGTGGGCAAGATTTGTCTTCATCTGCTGCTACATCCGGAGAGAGATATTCGCTTCTTTGGTGGATAAGATTTGTCCTTCCCTGCTATCCAGCCATTTCTGTGCGTCAGGCAGGCCACATGAGAGAACAGAAGCATGTAGAGCGTGAGCATGCTGTGCTTCCAAACTGCTAAAGAAGCTTCCATATCTGCTGCCGAAGCTCCCACACCTTGAGTTTCCGTCCGACTCTGGATTGAGCAGTATCTCTTGTGCTTTGTTCAATGCTTTGCTGCCCTCTCACCGGCCCAACATGCGCCAAAATCATCAAGCCGTTGGCCTCCTGCTGTGCTAAGTTCCGGTGTCAAAACCATAAACCTCAACTCACTCCCCTCTCCTTCTTTCCTCAATCTACCAGCTCTCCTCCCCCATTCGCACAACCTCCCCCCCGGCAACCCCCACTTCCTTCCACCCTCCACCGCCCCCAACCATCGCACATCAGAGTCATCGAGCCCTTCGCCTCCCGCTGTGCCAAGTTCCCGTTCTGGCCACAAGTGGGGCAGGTGATGACTGACTGGATCCACCACCCAACCTCCCTTCCCCATCCTTCCCCTCCCCTCCTCCCCCCTCCCCCCGCCCCCCGCCCCCCAATGCCCCAATGCATGTCAGAATCATCGAGCCGTTGGCCTCCCGCTGTGCCAAGTTCCGGTTCCGGCCGCTGGTGGGGCAGGTGATGACTGACAGGCTGAGGCACGTGGCAGACTGCGAGCACCTCACTCTGTCGGATGAGGTAAGCCGGGGAAAGTGAGGTGGGGCGCCTCACTCTGTCCTCCTCTCCCACCTTGCATGAGGTGGGGTGCTAGTACCCCACCTCATGCAAGCACAGCGGCAAAAAGGAACACTGGAATTGAAGTACTTGCCTCATTGGCAAGCCACCTTGCATGAGGTAGTGCGGCAGGTGATGACTGCCAGGCTCAGGCACGTCGCGGACTGCCAACACCTATTGCTGGAAGATGAGGTGAGCTGCAGTATTCTGTATTCACTGCTGGCAGCTTGCACAAGGTGAGCCGCCCGCTGTTGGGCTCTTGAGTCGACTACTCAGAAGTAATATTTTGAGTCGACTAAAAAAACACCTGTCGCTGGAAGATGAGGTGAGCTGCAGTCGTCAGTGTCCATTGCTGGCAGCTTGCACAAGGTGAGTTCTGAGTCAGATGGTTTTTGAGTCGGCTCAAAGAAAACTTGTCGCTTGAAGTTGAGTTGAGCTGCACCTGCAGTATTCGTTTTGTCACTGCTGGCAGCTTGCACAAGGTGAGCCACCGCTGGGCTTTTAAGTCGACTCAAAATGACCCTTGAGTCGACTCAAAGAACACCTGTCGCTTGAAGATGAGGTGAGCTGCAGTCGTCGGTATCCTTTGCTGGCAGCTCGCACAAGGAGAGCTGCTGTTGCTGGGCAAGCGATGACTGACAGGCTCCGACTCATTCGCGAACACCGGTGGCTTGCCAATGAGGCAAGTACTTCAATTCCAGTGTTCCTTTTTGCCGCTGTGCTTGCATGAGGTGGGGTGCTGATGGGCAAACCACGGCGATCGCTCTGCTTGCATGAGGTGGGGTGCTGATGGGCAAGCCATGGCGGACAGGCTCACACAGACACGCAGCCGAAGGCAAACACCTCGCTGTCCAGGATAACTCGTGTGTTATGAGTCTATTTTTGAGTCGACTAGGAAAATGACGGTCAGGCTCAGACACACAGCCAAAGGCTGTTCGCTGGTAGTATACTCAGACACACCTCTCTGTACAGGAGAAGGTGAGTACTCTTGCACGAGGTGCGGTGCTGATGGGCAAGCCATGGCGGACAGGCTCACACAGACACGCAGCAGAAGGCAAACACCTCTCTCTGCAGGAGAAGGTGAGTTTTCTTGCATGACGTGGCTGCTGGTAGTGAGGCGCGTGACACCTGGCATGCTCATATACATTTCGGATGGCAAAACCTTCATGCCCCCGGATGAGGTGGGCTGTCTGTTGGCGTGGCGACAAATTATTGGCACTGATGGATCCCAGTCACTCCTTCCAGGAATCTTCCCTAAGTCAGTCCCTACAAAACAGCCTAAGAAAGCCAATTGTGTGAGGGAAGGGCAAGTATTGCTTGCGTGTGCGCTACGCCAATGGGAGCTCATTCACTCCTTTAAAATCAGTCTACCAGATGCCTATTTTGTAAGAGGCACTGCGACGTACGCGAAAGGGCAGTCAGAGTGCAGAAAGGTGCATAGTCCAGAAAAGGAATACCGTAAAGGAGTGCCACATGTAATTTCTAGGTTGAGAAACATGCAGGTGAAGTCGACATGGGAAGAAAATGTGCCTCAGCAGAGGATTGAACTCTGGACCTTTCGCTTACGAAGCGAACGCACTACCACTGTGCTACTGGGGCATGATTTTGTACTGGTTATCACTAGCAAGCTGAGAGACATAGCGGACTGCGAACACCTGTCGCTGTCAGATGAGGTGAGCCGATGGGGTGAGCCGATGGGGTGAGCCGATGGGGTGAGCCGATGAGGTGAGCCGATGAGGCCACTTGCTTGCATGAGGTGGGGTGCTGGTGGGCAAGTGATGAGTGACAGGCAGCGCCACATCGCAGATTGCAAACACCTCACAGTCAGATGAGGTGAGCACCACATGCTCCTTGGGGCTGGTAAGTTGCTTTGCTTGCATGAGGTGAGGTGCTGGTGGGGCAGGTGATGTCTGGCGTGCTGCGGCACATTGCAGACTGCGAACACCTCACACTCACAGATGAGTTGAGTACATTGCATGCATGAGGTGAGGTGAGGTGCTAGTAGTGGGGCAGGTGATGACTGCCAGCCTCAGGCATGTTGCAAACACCTCACAGTTTCTGATGATGTGAATAGCGTCCATGAGGTGAGGTGAGGTGCGGTGAGGTGCTAGTGGTGGGGCAGGTGATGACTGACAGGCTGAGGCACGTCGCGGACTGCGAGCACCTCACTCTTTCTTTTGAGGAAAGCGGGGGCAAGTGAGGCGGGGCGCGTCACTCTGTCCTCCTCTCTCACCTTGCATGAGGTGGGGTGCTAGTAGTGCGGCAGGTGATGACTGACCGGCTTAGGCACATTGCGGACTGCGAACACCTCACACTCACAGATGAGGTGAGCACTTGCATTTCCTGCTCCTTCCAGCGACTTGCGTGCATGAGGTGAGGTGCTGGTGGGGGAACATCATGACTGACTGACACGCTCAGGCACAGCGCAGATTGCGAGCACCGCACCTCACAGTTTCGGATGAGGTGAGCACCGAATGCTCCTTGGGGCTGCTTTGCTTGCATGAGGTGGGATGCTGGTGGGGCAAGCCACGACCAACAGTCATGCAGCAGAGGGGGAGGGCAGCAGGCAGCGGGGGCGCAGAGGCAGCACCAGCATGGCGGAGGGGAAGAATGGGGCAGTCTCACACACACACCTCGCGCTCCAGGTGAGTACCTCGCACTCCATGCTCTGCTTTTGAGGTGCCTCAAAAGCAGTACCTTGCACTCCGTGCTCGTTCGACTCTGCCGCTCTGCTGGCATCAGGTGGGGTGCCTGCCGGTAGTGAGGCAGGTAAATCCCGACAGGCTCGACACATTCCAGAATCCGGATGACGAAACCTCGTGCTCCTACGTGAGGTGGGGTGCTGACGTGGCGACGGATGATTCGCGTCAATGGGTCTCGGTCACTCCTTCCGAAACCATTCCCCAAGTCAGTCCCCACAAGTAGGCAAGGGATGAGCAAGGTGTGGTGCGGCTTGTGCCTGTGTATACCTACAAGTAAGCCAAATATGTGAAGAAAGCGTAAGCATTGCTTGCACGTGGTCAACGTCAATGGGATCTCACTCACTCGTTCAAAATCACATTTGGTACCAATTGCCGATTTCGTGGGGAGACGGCGCGAGGTAAGCAAAAGCGCAGCCAGAGTCCAGCCAGGTGCATGGAAGCCTGAAAGGGACATTGGACGATTGACTGCCAATTCTGCTAGGTTGTGAAAGCCATGGAGGGAGACAATTGGTCTTTCACTGAAAAAGGAATTCCTCAGGAGTGCCATAAAGACCCTTAGGTAGGTAAAACAAGTTACAGTAAGAATCAGTTGTGCCTCAGCAGAGGATTGAACTCTGGACCTTTCGCTTACGAAGCGAACGCACTACCACTGTGCTACTGGGGCTGTGATATCTGTCTCTGTATTTTTAGTTTAATCTAACTTGACGCAAGCTTGCTTGAAGCAGGATCTGAGATGAGCTTTCACCCAGCTCCACACCAGCTCTCCTACAGGCTACACCCACACCCACCTGCAACGTTGTGTTTCGCCTCTTTTCCTTCCTCTGCCGCCCCTTTTCCTTCCCCTGCCACCCTTTTTCCTTCCTCTGCCGCCCTGTTTCCTCCGGTGCCACCCCTCGTCCCCCTGCGCCGCCCCTCTTCCTCCTCGCCCCCCCCCGGTCTCATATGCTGCAGGCCTTTGAAATGCTGTACGAAGTGTCGGGGGAATCTGAGGCGGCTTAAGAACTCCCCCCCTCCCCCCTTTTCTTCCCGGTGGTTCGTCTGCCCTTCTCCCCCCTGTGCTGAGCTGCAGGCCTTTGAAACGCTTAACAAAGTGTCGGAGGGAGATCTGAGACGAGCCATCACAACGCTGCAGGTGGGTGTGGGTGTAGGCGGGAGTGAGAGTGAAGGTGACGTAAGCTGAGCCAGGTGTGTGAGGGGGTCATGGTTCCAACACTGTAGGTGGGTGTGCGGAGGGGGATCTGAGACGAGTCAACCACAACGCTGCGGGTTGGTTTGCCGAGCCACCAGATCCATCGCCTGACGCTGCAGGTTGGTTTGACGCTGCAGGTTGGTTTGACGCTGCAGGTTGGTTTGACGCTGCAGGTTGGTTTGACGCTGCAGGTTGGTTTGACGCTGCAGGTTGGTTTGACGCTGCAGGTTGGTGCTGGTGTTGGTGTGAGAGGGACTGAACGATAAGCGGTTTTGAAATTAATGGTACAAGCTGTTAACTTTTGACAATGTTGTAAGAGGTGGTTGCATTGTGGTCTGAGACAAGAAGCCCTGACCACGCTTTTGATTGCAGCAGGGATGCTCTCAGTGGCAGGGATGCTCTCAGTGGCAGGGATGCTCTCAAGGCTTGTTCACGTTCATCAGCGCCAGAGACAGCAAGAATCAGCGCAACAACGACCTCCCTTATCCCGCCCCTTGTCTCTACCTGCCGTCCCTTGTCTCTACCTGCCGTCCCTTGTCTCTACCTGCCGTCCCTTGTCTCTACCTGCCGTCCCTTGTCTCTACCTGCCGTCCCCTGTCTCTACCTGCCGTCCCTTGTCTCTACCTGCCATCCCTTGTCTCTACCTGCCGTCCCTTGTCTCTACCGCTGCCGTTACTGGCAGAGACAGCAAGCGAGGAACTCAGATCGACTCGTCGATCTCAGCGGAACAACCAACCACCTCCGTGTTCCTCCGTGTTCCTCCGTGTTCCTCCGTGTTCCATTTCCCCGCCTTCCCCCCCCCCCCCGTTCCCAACCCGTAGAGTGCTGCAGGACTGTACGGCGTGTTTATATCAGCGCAGCAACCATACCCCTCACCTCCTTCCCGCTTCCCCTCCTTACCCTCCATCCCCCATGCTCCCCCACCCACTTCTTGTCCACAGAGTGCTGCCAGGCTGTACGGCTCGTCAATATCAGCGCAGCAAATCATCGAGGTCTCAGGGGTATGTCAAGAAAAGGAAGGTTTGGCTGGTGTGTCCGGACACTCTCACAAACAATCATGCACACAAACACACACACACACTCACACACGTGCACACACTTGCACACACATGGGCGCGCGCACACACAAACAAACACACACATACGCCCCCACACGCATACACACACACACACACAAAAATAAACGCACACATGCCAGCACACTCTATCTTGTTGAGTGACTTCTTTCAGCCACTTCCCTTACGATTCGCCTCCCATCGAGGTTTTACCTGCCTAAGCTGTCACCTCCCTCTCTCCCTCCCTACTTCCCACCCCCCTTTCCTCCCCATCAGGTGGTACCTGCCTCATTTGTCACCTCCCTTCTGATATACTTGCATTGACTGGCGTCTCTTCCTTCCATCTCCCTCCCCATCCAAGTGGCACCTGCCTCAGTTGTCACCTCCCTCCTCAAGGCCTGCAGGGGAGGCGCCTTCGAGGCTCTTCAGTCAGCGGTCACTGCCGCGGTTGCTGACGGTTAACCTGCTGCACAAACACGATCTCAGGTGGTACCTGCCTCATTAGTCACCTCCCTCCTTCCCTTCCTCCCACCCACCCTCCCGCCCTCCCCAATCCAGGTGGTGCCTGCCTCAGTTGTCACCTCCCTCCTCAAGGCCTGCAGGGGAGGCGCCTTCGAGGCTGTGCAGTCTGCCGTCACTGCTGCCGTTGCTGACGGCTACCCTGCTGCTCAAATACTCTCCCAGGTATTACAATGTTACAGTTTCGTTGTTACAGTTGCGTTGTTACGGTTGCGTTGTTACAGTTGAGTTGTTACAGTTGCGTTGTTACAGTTGTGGTGTTACAGTTGCGTTGTTACAGTTGTGGTGTTACAGTTGCGTTGTTACAGTTGTGGTGTTACGGTTGTGTTGTTACCTCTCTACTTTCCGGTCTGCCGTCACTGCTGCCGGTTGCTGCTGCTGACAGCTACAAGGTACTCTCCCGTGTTCTGCTAACAACGGCTAGAACGCATAATGTTACAGTGTAACCACTCCGCTTGTCTTTCATCACTGCTTGACTGGCTGTATATTCTTCTTCTCCAGTACTCTCCCAGGTTATGCTACGAGATGCTAGAGCATATTGTCACAGCACACCGTTGTTACGCAGTGTCACTCCGGTTGTCTGTCATCACTGCTGCTGATGCTGAGTTAGGTTTTTGAGAATGCTAAAAATCCCAACGAGATGCCAGAGCATATTGTCTCAACGCACTGTTGTTACCCTGTATTACCAATGCGCTTGTGAGGCGCCTCAATGCGCTTGTCTCTCATCACTGCTGCTGATACTGACGGCTACCACCAGGCTGCGAAATGCTGTAGCAGGTGCTGCTAGGAGTCTATTTTTGAGGCGCCTCAAAAATAGAGTCAGCGTTACATGGTTACCACTCTCTGCCCCCCCTGTTTCAAGCTTCTCGTCTCTTCTGCTGCTACATGCTGCTTATTGCTACCCTGCTGTTTCATTATTGTCTCAGAACAGAGAACCTGCTAGAGCCAACCTTGAAGGACGTTCGGCAATTGTCGTGGTTATTCTGGCTGAACCTAAATCGCCGCCCTCCTTCGCCCCCTGATTTTCTCTCCCTTGGTTCCCTCTCGCCTTTTCCCCTCCCTTCCCGCAGCTGTTTGACGCAGCGGTAGGTGCAGAGGACCTTCAGACGAGCACAAGGCTCAACCCCCCCTTTCATCTCATCATCACCCACCCTCCTCCCTGTTTCCTTATCCCTCAGCTGTTTGATGCAGCAGTGGCGGCAGACGACCAACACAAAGCTCAAAGCCTCAACCACCCGTTCATCTCATTATCACCACCCCACTCTCTTGCCCTGCAGTAGTTCGATGCAGCCGTGGCTGCAGAGAACCTCACAGACGAGCAGAAGGGTCAAACCCCCCCTTCCGTCTCATTGCCACTCTTCCCCCTCTCTTGCCCCTCAGTTGTTCGATGCAGCCGTGGCTGCAGAGAACCTCACAGACGAGCAGAAGGGTCAAAGCCCCCCTTCCGTCTCATTGCCACTCTTCCCCCTCTCTTGCCCTTCAGTAGTTCGATGCAGCCGTGGCTGCAGAGAACCTCACAGACGAGCAGAAGGGTCAAACCCCCCCTTCCGTCTCATTGCCACTCTTCCCCCTCTCTTGCCCCTCAGTTGTTCGACACTGCAGTGGTTGCAGAGAACCTCACAGACGAGCAGAAGGGTCAAAGCCCCCCTTCCGTCTCATTGCCACTCTTCCCCCTCTCTTGCCCCTCAGTTGTTCGATGCAGCCGTGGCTGCAGAGGACCTCACAGACGAGCAGAAGGGTCAAAGCCCCCCTTCCGTCTCATTGCCACTCTTCCCCCTCTCTTGCCCTTCAGTAGTTCGATGCAGCCGTGGCTGCAGAGAACCTCACAGACGAGCAGAAGGGTCAAACCCCCCCTTCCGTCTCATTGCCACTCTTCCCCCTCACTTGCCCCTCAGTTGTTCGACACTGCAGTGGTTGCAGAGAACCTCACAGACGAGCAGAAGGGTCAAAGCCCCCCTTCCGTCTCATTGCCACTCTTCCCCCTCTCTTGCCCCTCAGTTGTTCGACACTGCAGTGGTTGCAGAGAACCTCACAGACGAGCAGAAGGGTCAAACCCCCCCTTCCGTCTCATTGCCACTCTTCCCCCTCTCTTGCCCCTCAGTTGTTCGACACTGCAGTGGTTGCAGAGAACCTCACAGACGAGCAGAAGGGTCAAAGCCCCCCTTCCGTCTCATTGCCACTCTTCCCCCTCTCTTGCCCCTCAGTTGTTCGACACTGCAGTGGTTGCAGAGAACCTCACAGACGAGCAGAAGGGTCAAAGCCCCCCTTCTGTCTCATTGCCACTCTTCCCCCTCTCTTGCCCCTCAGTTGTTCGATGCAGCCGTGGCTGCAGAGGACCTCTCGGACGAACAGAAGGCGCGGATCTGTGCAACCATTGCAACCGCTGACAAGGTACTCCTGGAATTTGTACGCATCAAAATGGTTTTTTTGAATTCTCTAAAACCAACTCAGCTCAGAGTGCTCCGATCTGTGCAACCATTGCAACCGCTGACAAGGTGCTCCTGGGATTCTGTACGCGTCACAAGGTACTGCGCTCCTGGGATTCTGTACGCATTACAAGGTACTGCCCTCTTATTCTACGGTTTTGGAATGTAGTGTCTGTGGAATGTTGTGAACTCGTGGTTGTGTCGAAAAAAAAAGTAGTTTTTATCTGCCCAGCGCATTCCTTCAGTGTGGCGTACCCCCTTACAAAACTCACTGTCATAAATTCTTTCTCTTCCTCTTTCTCCTTGATATCTGTCCGTTCCACTTTTCGTACTTTTCATCTCTTGATGGGCGGAGCAGAGTGCAGAGGAGTGGCTACAGTTGTTGGATGTGGCGACGAGCATCTTCCACCCCCCTGCTCCTCGCAGGTGGTTGGATGTTGCGTCTGTCGGGAGCACCTGGTGCACGAAAGGATCCAAGGACAAGCATACCCAAACCTTCCCTCCCCTTTCCCCCATTTCCCCCCTTTCCCCCCTTTCCCTCCCCTTTCCCCCCCATTCCCCCCCATTCCCCCCCTTTCCCCCCTTTCCCTCCCCTTTCCCCCCCTTTTCCCCCCTTTCCCCCCTTTTCCCCCCCTTTCCCTCCCCTTTCTCTCCCCTTTTCCCTCCCCTTTCCCTCCGTTTTCCTTTGCCCTTGTCGCCCCTTGAATCAGAATCTGGTGGATGGAGCGGACGAGTGGCTGCAGCTGCTGGATGTGGCCAGCACCACCCACCCACTCACCCCACTCCCTGCAACTGACCCCCCTCCTCTCCTCCCTTTCCTGTTGCCGCGGTCATGCTTAACCTCAGAATCTGGTGGATGGGGCGGACGAGTGGCTGCAGCTGCTGGATGTGGCCAGCAGCACCATGAGGGCCATCCACAACCTGCCGCTCACTGCCGCCTTCGCCTCGTGATGGCCATGTGATATGTGAACGAGACGATCATTATAGACTTGGATGTGGCCGGCAGCACCATGAGGGCCGTCCACAGCCTGCCACTCACTGCCTCCTTCGCCTCGTGATGCCCATGTGATGCTCAAACATGGGAATGAGACCAGCATAATAGACTTGGATGTGGCCAGCAGCGCCATGAGGGCCGTCCACAACCTGCCGCTCACTGCCTCCTTTGCCACGTGATGGCCACACTAATGCTCGAACACATCGAGGCCGTGTAAACACACCTTACCAGTACCTGCATGTGGCAAGCGTCGCCATTGGGGCCATGATCAAGTGTCCAATCACTACCTCCACTGCCACATGATCGTCACCCTCGCGCAATGCAAACATCTGTATTTTGAGTCGACTCAAGGTGTACTATTTTGAGTCGACTCAAAATTCACGTGATGTCACCCTCGCGCAATGCAAACATCTCGATGAAACCTTTTTTACGCACTTCCACAAGGGTCGTCGTGCGCAACATTCCACTCAACTGCCTCCTTTGCAATGTGATGGCCACACTTATGCTCAACCATGTGAACCACAACACAGCAATCAAATCGCCTAGTTTCCTCACAGCATGGGTTGAACAGCACTTTTATCAGTATGTACAACCTGAAGCTATCCAAAAAGTGCATTGCAGAATCGCCATAAGAATTCCACTTCCACAGTTACAGGTGCGAACAGCAAGGAGTTCAGGAAGGAAATCAGCCAGCTTCCAACCTGCAGGCCTGGCAAGAGTAACACATCCTGTTCCCTTCTTCGCCCTGCTCCTATGGCAGATGCTGTTATGGTAAGAGAAGCTGTCAGCTGTTTTTGGAGGAGGCTCCTTTCCTGGGACAACCCCACACAAGGCAAAATCGGACATGGAATAGGGTGGCATGCCATGGCATGACAAGGCAAATGTTGTGAAGTCGGTGCATGGCATGGCATGATGGGGATGTCTTATGCCAGGGCATGATCACATTCTGGTGCATTAGTGCGACGGCGGCAGAGGAAGCATGTCAGTGCAACGATAGGAGTGAGAATGGAAACAAGAACTCGGCACTGGGAAGATAGCAATGGAGAAGTGACACGGCGGCAGTGGGAAAATGCCATGGCTGACGATGCTTGGATATGCCACGCCTGATCTTGTCTGACATGGTATGGTCACTTAGTGGCTGCAGTCAGGGGAAAATGGCAAATGAAAAGTGACAGTGGTACGATAGAATGCGAGAATGATAAAGGCAAGATGGCAGTGGAATCATTGGCAGTGGGACGCCAGCATAAAGCGAATGACAAAGGAAGTGTCATTGTGGGATGGTGGCATTGAAAAGACGACCTAGAAATGTTGCAGCGGGACGACATCAATGGTTTGGAATCAAGTAGAGTAGATGGACAATGGAAATTTGACTTGAACAGTAGGAATTTAGCTTAAAAATGGACAATGGGAAGGTGACTGAAAAAAAGGGAATCTGGTTGGACTCAAAGCAATGGGAGATTGACTGGAAAAATGACAGTGGGAAATACAATGGGAAGGAAGAGAGCCAATTATATAACTGGCAAAAGGGTGAATGGGTAATGGGACATTGCCACTGACAAGCTGACTGACTAGAGCAATGACTATGAGAAGGTGACTTAACAAATTGGTCAGAAGTTGTTGACTAGGAACTAATGGCGGGAAGTTGACTTTGCGGTTGACAATGTAAAGATTATTGAGAATTGACACTAAGAAGTTGACTGCGAATCAGAAAGGGGAAGTAGACTGAGGAACACCATTGGGAAATTGACTGGGAATGGACAGTGTGAAGTTGTATGAGAGAATGTCAAGTTGACCTAGGCTTGAAGAATGGGGACTTAAGTTGGGGCTTTGACCATGGGAAGTTGATTGCACAGATGACTCTGGGAACGTTAACTAGAAACTGACAAAGAGAAGGATAACATAAACTTGACTACGAGATCTTAGACTAGAAACTCACAGTGAAAGGTAACATGAAAGTTGACTGAGGGAACTTGACTGAAAAAACGCTGAAAAGATGAGTGAAATGTTGAGGATGGAAAGTTGGCTGGAAACAGCGCGATGGGCAGGAAAAAAAAGGTCGGAATAAGGGCAATTGGAAATTGGCTGAAACCATGGCGATGGGATGTGGCTGGACAAACGGAAAGCAGACGGGAGAAACGAAGTTGGAAGTTGACTGGAGAAAGCACAATGGGAAAAAAATGGCACTTGCAACTCCCACTGCTGCATCTCCAACTTGTGAGCCAGCTCACATCACTCCACCCTACTCCACTCCTCCCTGCTCCCTGCTCCCTCCTCCCTGCTCCACTCCTTCCTCCCTCTCCCCCACCTTCCACTCACACCTTTAATGCCCCCACACCCACTTGACAAGGCAATGATACCACACATGGACTATATAATATGAATCAGTACAAGCTGCTAAGGACACACTACACTAGTAACAGATTACTAATAAATAATGAGAAAATCTAGTATGTTGCAGCAGATCCAGTGCCCCTCCACATCCCACTGACCACACTCCAGCTTTCCTCATTCCTCCACCTCTCCTCCCATCTCTCCCACAACACCCTGCAAGCAGGGTGGAAAAAGGGGTACGACCCTCCATTGCCCTCCAACTAGCCCCCACCAGCCATGCCACATGCCCGTCTCACTGCTTTAAATGACCTTCCACCCTCCATGACCCTCTGCCGAGGCACTGGATCCGCCTGATGCTTTGCACCTTCACTTCACTGCCACGCCTGCTGCTGCTATTCTTGACGCAGCCTTGGGAATTCCCGAAGCAGGCTTGGGAATTCCAGACGCAAGCTTGGGAATCGCAGACGCAGGCTTGGGAACCGCAGATGCAGGCTTGGGAATCGCAGCCGCAGGCTTGGGAATCGCAGGCGCCGGCTTGGGAATTCCAGACGCATTTCTAGAAATCTGGGATGCACCAGCAGCAGCAACTGGCGTCTTCCCTGCCGTTGCACTCACCACACCCTTGGCCGCCACCTTCCCGCTGCTGATCGGTTCAGCCGTTACCCCTGCAGCAGGTGCAGCCTTCGCTGCTGCACGCTTCCCAGCACCTCCCTTAGCACCGGCAGCTTTCACAACAGCAGCAGCCTTTGCTGTACCATCCTTCCCAGCAGCTTTCGCACGCGTAGCAATAGTTGGCGTCGCCTTAGACGGCGTCGCCTTAGCTGGCGTTGCCTTACCTGGCGTCGCCATAGCTGGCGCGGCCTTAGCTGGCGTCGCCTTGACTGCTGCAGCTGCCGCCGTGGCCTGGCCGCTCTGCACCGCTCTGGACCTGACAGCAGCGGCGCTTGCCATGACATCCCTGGGCCTGGGCTTCTTGCTCGCCGGCTTCGCCACGGCCTTGGGTCGCAGGGGGGAGAAGCCCAGCGAGGCACGGGGGGAGCGCGGCTTGCACTCGTCCTCCTCGTTGAAGCGCCCCACACGGAATGCAACGGTCTGCACCCACTGCTTCCGCCTCGCGCTCATGCTCGTGCCAGCGCTGTTCGCACGCCTGGAGCTGCTGCTGCTGATGCATTCGCTGCTGTTGCTGCTGCTGGTTTCGCTGCTGCTGATCATGCTGCTCGCGCTGCTGCTGCCGCTGCTGCTGCTGCTGCTGGCGATGCTAGCGCTGCTGCTGCTGCAGCCAGTCGTTGACGTGCTGCTGAGCGCAGTGTTGACAGCAGCAGGTGCTGCACAAAGCGTCAAGGTCACAACGGGTTCGCTGAACGGAATCCATGGAGCGTACAGCCACGTGCACTCCTCTTCTGAGTAGTCCTCCCAAAAAGCATGCTCGATGGAAGAATCTTGAGCGGAAGAGAAGCACAGCGGGCCAGAGAGCCATGTGCAAGCCTCCTCGCTGAAATCCTTCCAAAACTCGTGGTCGACAGAGCAGGAGGTCAGTGGCACGTACAGCCACGTGCCGTCGGCCACGCTGAACTCGTTCCAGAACTCGTGGTCGATCGAGCGGCTGGTGAACCCGCGGAGAGCGGGGGAGTTTCGGGAGGCCATGGTCAGTTGAGAGGGTTAAACGGACAAGGAATTGAAATCTGAGGAGCAGATGCGTGAGCACGAAGAAGATTGAACAAGTGAGGACTGAAAGTGTGACTGGGAGCTCGAGCACTGAAAGCGAGAAGAACTGCGGTTGCTGGAGTGAAATGGAATGGCAGGCGGATGTGGATTTGTAGGCGTTGGCAATGCAATCCCAAGGCAGAGGAAGAGGAGCTCTCTTGGGGAGAGGGAAACATGGCGGGCAGGGACGACGGGAAAAAAAACGAATCTGCTGCCCCAAAAAAACTACTCCGCGAAATGTTGGCTCCATCCCGCTGCTTGGAGCCGAAGTTTCGGACGGTTGTGGAAATCGGTGGTGTGCGGTTTTGCTGCCCTAAGGGCCCAGGCCCAATGGGAAATCGGATACTTAAAGTTCGGATCAGCCCGAGGGAAATCCCGCGGCTCGTTCGCCAACAATGACGGAATTTTTGGGCAGCGAACTCATGGCGGATCCGTGCCCAAAACGAATTTGTTTTGAACCTCCGTTTTGCTCGCCCGCTGCCCGAGTACTAGGAGGCGCTTCGTCTACGAAAAAGAGGAGAATGCTTGCGGTTGACTGGTAGATGGGTGAAAAAAACGAACTTGCCGTCATGAGATGAGCTCGAGGCTGCAAAGGAACATTTCTGTTCCGTCTTCGCCAACAGACGGGAATCGCGAGCTTGCAGCAGCGCGCGAACGCGATTGAGCCGGAGCCCACATCGCGTTGCAAGGTGATGGCGGAGCTGTTACATCCGACTGGTTACAAATCGCACCACTTTTTGAAAAGCGTCGCAAGCTGACTGGTATCTGTAACATCCCGTATGCTCTTTTCGCGCAGCCATACATGCGTCGCGAGCTCTGAAAACACCTGAGGTCCGGCCTTGGGAACTCGGAGTCGTAGGGAACTACTTTCCAATAACTCGGGTTCTGACCTAATGGCTGGCAGACAAAGCCAAGCTCAGCCCAAGAAAATGACGAGGATGAAGGGCAAGGCGAGATGCAATAAGAGCAGGTTCATAACTCCACCTAGGTTGTGGATAATTTGTTCTCGTCAACGTGGAAAAAGAACAAGTAAGCTACAATAGCAACACAATAGCTCTTGAAATTCACTAGCACTTGTTGCTGGACAAACATTGCAGGCTATGTAGTAAGTTTGCTAGGGTATTTGAAGCAGGGCGTTTCCTGTAGACAATGTGCATATGTGATTTAAGGCATGCTATAATTTGCTTATATTTTAAATTGTTAATTAAGAAACACCAACTGTTGCAGAGATTGTGTTTGCATGTCAAGCACAGCTACAGCGCCTGGCCCCAGATCTGCCTTACGCCTTAATAGATGAGGCCCAGGAATCGGCCAATGAGAGCGACAGGCAGGAAGGGGACAGCTCTGTCTGTTGCTGTGATGGCGTCCTTGATGAGGAGGAACGAAGGCATGTTGGTACCTCAACTCCCATACCACCACCAGCAGCAGCTTGCTGTTGAGAGAGAGGAAGAAAGGTGGCAGAGGGAGGGGAGAGGAGGAATGGAGGCATGTTGGCTCCTCAACTCCCATGCCACCACCACCAACAGCGTCCTGCTGGCAGGAAGGCAACAGGAAAAGATGGAGGGAGAGGTGAATAGCAGATGGTCGCACATGCCTTTGTGATCATACCAATAAAGACTTGAAACACGTATTGTGTGTCCAACACCCCATGCCCAACACCCTATTTCCATTCCCCTATGCCTCACCCCATCCTTTTAGTTGCTGCAGCTCTCCCCATCTTTTTCCCACGCCTAACAAGCGGCGCTCGGCCGAGCTGCCCTCCGCACGTCGCGCACTGCACCCATCGACTCGCCGCGCCTCCAAGGCCTTCGGCGACTTAAGAGCTACGCTCTGTGCACCTGTCCTTTTCTCCTCCCTCCCTCCCTCCCTCCCTCCCTCCCTCCCTCCCTCTCCTCTCCTCCTCCCTCCTTGCTCTCCCTCCCTCCCTCTCCTCTCCTCTCCTCTGCTCCTCCCCGACAACATCGCCGCCAACCAGCACTCCTATGCCCAGTCAGTGAGGTGCTCCTCTCCTCGGTGGCAGTCGGTGGCTACAACCTGAAAGCCATCACCATCTGTTCCCCACAACACTCTGCCGAGTGAGACCCACTGGGCCACACACCCTCCCCAACTGCTCCCCCTCCGCCCTCCTCTTCCCCTGCCAGCACTGCCTTGCGCCACTTGCTCTCCGCATGCCCCCCTCCTCACACACCCCGTCACCAGCCACCTGCTGCACTGATGCACCATTCGTTCCCGCGCTGCCCAGATCTGGACCACCCCATCTCACCTCACTCTGCCCAGCACCAATGCGTCCACCAGAAGCTCGTCCCAGCCGCTGCTGCAACCCGAGCAGAAGTTGCCGCTCAGTGCTACAGGTGCTCAAGTCATAGGGGAAGGTCACGGAGGGCAGAGGAGCATGGTGCTGCAATGAAGAGACGTGAGTGAAATGCCGGGGATGGTGAGAGACAGAGGCAGTGGCGATGGTGACAAAGTGTGTACGAAGGTGGGAATGGTGGAGAGGAGAAAGGTGCCAATGAGATGGTGAGAGATAGAGGCGGCAGCGGGGGAGAAGGGGGAAGGGAACGGTTCGGGATGAAGCAAGAGCATTTCAAAATCTTTCATAATACACCTCATGTTTACAAGCCCTCATTCCTTCCACCCTCGTAAGTTACAACCCTTGGAGCCACATTACCAGCCATGCTACGAGCGCTTCCCACCACTCTCACCTCATCACACCACTCTCACCTCATCCCACCACTCTCACCTCATCCCACCATTCTCACCTCATCCCACCACTCTCACCTCATCCCACCACTCTCACCTCATCCCACCACTCTCTCCTCACCTCACCTCCTCACCTCCACTCTCCCCTATCATCACCCCATCTCACCTCCCTATCGTCACCCCATCTCACCTCACTCTATCATCACCCCATCTCACCTCACTCTCTCATCACCCCATCTCACCTCACTCTCTCATCACCCCATATCGCCTCACACTCTCATCACCCCATCTCACCTCACTCTCTCATCACCCCATCTCACCTCACTCTGTCATCACCCCATCTCACCTCACTCCCTCATCACCCCATCTCACCTCACTTCCTCATCACCCCATCTCACCTAAATCCCTCATCATCCCATCTCACCACACTCTCTCATCACCCCATCTCACCTCACTCTATCATCACCCCATCTCACCTCACTCTCTCATCACCCCTCTCACCTCACTCTATCATCACCCCATCTCATCTCACTCTGTCATCACCCCATCTCACCACACTCTCTCATCACCCCATCTCACCTCACTCTCTCATTTCCACATCTCACCTCACTCTCTCATCACCCCATCTCACCTCACTCTGTTGTCACCCCATCTCACCTCACTCCCTCATCACCCCATCTCACCTCACTCTCTCATCACCCCATCTCACCTTACTCTCTCATCACCCCACCTCCCCTCACTCTATCATCACCCCATCTCACCTCACTCTGTCATCACCCCATCTCACCATACTCTCTCATCACCCCATCTCACCTCACTCTCTCATCACCACATCTCACCTCACTCTCTTATCACCCCATCTCACTTCACTCTCTCATCACCCCATCTCACCTCACTCTCTCATCACCCCATCTCACTTTACTCTCTCATCACCCCATCTCCCCTCACTCTATCATCACCCCATCTCACCTCACTCTGTCATCACCCCATCTCACCACACTCTCTCATCACCCCATCTCACCTCACTCAATCGTCACCCCATCTCACCTCACTCCCTCATCACCCCATCTCGCCTCACTCTCTCATCACCACATCTCACCTCACTCTCTCATCACCCCATCTCACCTCACTCAGTCGTCACCCCATCTCACCTCACTCCCTCATCACCCCATCTCACCTCACTCTCTCATCACACCATCTCACCTCACTCCCCCATCCCCCCATCTCACCTCACTCTCTCATCACTCCATCTCACCTCACTCTCTCATCACCCCATCTCACCTCACTCTTTCATCACCCCATCTCACCTCACTACAGTATGTCATCACCCCATCTCACCTCACTCTGTCATCACCCTGTCCCTTCTCACCGGTTCCTCTCCCCTTCCCCTCAATTCCTCTCCCCTTCCCTCAAATTCCTCTCCCCCTTCCCCCAATTACTCTCCCCTTCCCCCCAACTCCTCTCCCCTTCCCCCCAACACCTCTCCCCTTCCCCCCAATTCCTCCTTTTCCCCCAAAGTTTCCCTTCCCCCCCATCGCCAGTTCGTCCCTCCCCTGCACCCCCCCTCTTCTCTGCCCTAGCGCCACTCCGCGCCTTGCGCCCATCTCCCCTCCGTGCCCATCGCCGCCAGAGGAACGCCGCCTGGAGTGCATATCTCGTGCCATGCCGCCATCCCTAATCCCCACTTGAACACCGGGGGCGTTCCCACCCACCCCTTCAGGCTCCACCGCAACCAGCTTCCGCCTCTACCTCTCGCGCCCGCTGTGCTTGTACAAACCCGCTGCTAGGCCCCCCAAGACTGTTCCTCAAGGAGCCCAGATCGTCGACTCGCGGACTTGGCTCCATGACGTAAGGCGCGTACGCTCATGGGCGATCCCGTGTAAACGTGGTGTCTGACCCCGACGCACGCGGGGTGGTTCCGGCGAGAAGCTCACCCTCCGCATGCGGGAACACCTCCGCCACATCCGCTAAACCTGGGGGTGGACTCACCATGCTACTCCCCTGTTCCTCCCGTCCCGTTGCCGCGCTTGCGACAACCGTGGCCTGCTTTGCCGGTATGAGAGTCGCGTCCACTGTGGGTTTACCCTTCGCGCCTACTGCATCTGCCTTAAACCGCTCTGAGACTGTCCCTGTTGTCTCATCTGCACCCCCCTCCGCCCGCCCTTCCGGTTGCGGATCATCCTCCTCCTCGTGTGTCGTGCAGCGAGTCGCGTGGAAAGCCGCATCCAGCCCCATTTGACGGTACGGCTGTGCGGCTATCCCACCTCGTCGCGGTCCATGCATTCCACGGTGCCTAATGCGGCTGTATGATTTCCAGCGTATGGCTGGTGGTCCGCCTCTTCTGGCTCGTCACCGAACGCGGACTCGATGGTATCCGCAGCGCTGAGATCAAGGTCTTGCTGCTGTTGGGAAAGCATGTCCACTCATCGCACCATATCTGCGTGCACGTCATCCCACTCCTCCGGTCACGGCGCGGGAACTTCGATCTGGTGTCGGGCCTGCTCTCCGAGGCGACGGCCACCGACCGCTACCTCGATGGTAGCTTTGCCCAGGAGTCTTCGTGGGCTCCATTCCTGTATGCTACTGCTAGACAAGGTTTCCTGTTCCCGTCTGGCTGATTCGATTTCGCGTGCGTTGCGCGAGCTCGGCAAGCCCGTAAGAGCGTAGCGAAACCTCGCTCCGGCATACAGTTTTTGTACATCGTGCCTCGCTTTTGTTTGCTGGTTATGCGATGGGATTTTGTTGTTTATTTTATTTTTTCCCCTTCATGGTGTTTCCCTTCACGCGACGCGCCAGCCCGGCGTTGACGTCAGCACTGCCGAAATCCCGTTTTCGTACACCGTGTCTCGCCAATGTTCGCCAATGTGCCCATTTTCGTCTTTTCGACGCCTTCAATCCGGCGCGCTGCATCGGAAAATTCCACGGCCATGACAAACCGGATTGGCCATTTTCGACACTCCGGCGCTCGCCATTGGCCCTTGAGCTGGCCCGTCCCCGATTGACCGGTGCGGCTTGGAGGCCCAGTACGCGCGCTCCGGCCTGCCCGGGCGGGGGACACAGCTGGCCTTTGAACATGCCCGTATCCGTAGTGCCCTCGCGTGCTCGGGGAAAGCGACGAGGGAGGTAGCCAGTTTGGAAGGGGTTCCAAACCGGGGGGGGGCCCTCCAAACTGGATAAAAGTGGGCCAAATGCACTGAGATT